GCCGTACAGGGCCGTTGGTGAGCTGCCCTTGATGGGGAAGGATATACTGCGGCGGTACTTGGGCGACACACCCGACATCTGGGGAATGGGCGAGATGCCGCCGCTGCTGCAGCCCGCCTGTGAGCCGTTGTATGGCGATCCACCGCCACCACCAAGTCCTCCTCCTACTGGCGACGAGGGGCTGTGCGATCCTCCGCCGTCTCGATGCTGGTGCTGTGGCTGGTGATGATGATGATGGTGCATGGCACTCAGATTCGGCGACAACTGCTGATGATGCTGCTGATGCTGATGCTGCTGATGCTGCTGCTGCTGGTGTTGCTGTTGCTGGTGGAGCTGGGGCGGCTTGCTCAGATTGAGATTCGGCGGCAGGCCACTGCAGCTGCAGGAAGAAGGGACAACAAGATGAAGAGGCTTTTACAACAATTTGGCAATTTCAGTGGATGATATTTGGGTTCTGAGATATTGTGAGTCGGTTCAGTACTCTTTGCATTATGAAAAAGGAGCAATTTGTTCAAGGATTTGCTTCGGATTCGGTTTAGTCTAGGTACACATAATGCAATTAGTTTGGTGTTCATACGCTTAACCCATTGCCGCCCGGCGTTCGAAAATTAAAATTATATATGTAGATATCAAGAAACGAAACATTGAACAACTGATAAAAGTATTCGGATTAATTAGGCTATGGAATTATTAAGGGATATACGAGTTCGTTGTGACCTTTGCTCTTTATTTACTAAGGATTGCATCCCTAATTTACTAACATGCGCACAAAATTGATTTTAAATATTAATTTTTTAGGACGGGAACCTGATATGTAATTAATTTTGAAGTTCTTTAAAAAGGACGGCGAAAAGTAGGCAACAAAATATTGACACATCTAAACTAGGTACCACAAGAATATCTATTTCTCTTTAAATAGATTAAGTGGGTTCCAACAAGGTTGCTATAAATTATATATTGACAAATTAATTGCAAATAAGGTTCTAGAATACTGTTTTAAATACACTCAACATATGTGGCACCCCTTTATAATTATTTGTTTTTTTTTTTTAGCGTTATTTTGCTAGTATTTAATTAATACAATAAGATAATTTCCCATCGTTCTAATCTTACTAAATAGTTTCTATACAAATAAGAAGTTGTAGAAATATCTGAAGATTTTATAATGAGCGCAAAGTAAACAGAATACTTAACAAAAAAAATATATAAAACCTATTCGGATCTCTATGCTATTTCGCTCCCATTTCACTACCTATACTCAAATCCTAAATTGCTCCTTTTTATATTACTTGATCATTCTCGGACGTTGCTTTGGTATTATTAATATTCTTTTGAATAAATATTTTTCTCAGATTTGTTGCTGTTGTTGTTGTTGGCGGTGGTGGTGGTGGTGGTGGTGTAGGATTGCTGTTGCTGTGGTAAATGGTGTGGGTGGTGTTTGGTGGTTGGTGGTTGTGGAGCGAGTACTGTTTTTATTTTTCTGGTGGTTTGGTGGTGGCTTGGCGACATCCAATCAAAATGAAAATTTCAAGTTGCCGTACGCTTGGGAAGTTTATTTTTGTTTTGTTTTGTTTCTCTTTTTTTAATTATATATTTTGTTTATTTTTGGCGAAGGTTTAGCTTTTTGGAAGAGGCGGCAGCTTAGTATATCTTTGGATTTGTTAGTTTGATTTTGTTAGCACACTTTAATCCTTTTGATGGTATACGATTGAAAGGGAAATCCAACACTTTCTTTCTTTTTAGCAGCTGCACTGACACTGAGACGACATGTTATCTTTTATATATATATTTTTGTTGTTTTCCAAACAAAAAGGCCGAAAACAAGTGGCCCCAAAAAGAACGGAAAGGAAAACCGAAAGAACCAAAACAGAAAACGTGGCTTAAGTCGCGGCACGGTGGGCGGCAAGGGGTTAATACGAGAGTATACCAGAGTACCTAGTATGTATGCTAATAGAAGACTAAACTAGTTCAAATGTGTATCAATTCGTTACGCTTATATTTCGCTGTTGTTGTTGCTGCTGCCGCTATTTTGTTTGTTTGTGTTTGTGCTCGACACGCTTACGCTAATTGATTGGACGACAGTGCATGCCAAACTGTAAGGCCACCGAGTACGACATGAAATTGCATGGAAATTTTTCTGAAAAGCTAAACCCAAGCAGGCAAATGACGATGATGGGAATCTCCTAAGGAGTGCTAAGAAGCAGGTGGTGGCTACTAAGCCTGAATGTTGCTGATGATTCAGCTGCTGCAGATGCCTGCTGCTGCTGCAGATGAAAATGATGGCGACAACGATGTGAATGATGAAATGTGTGTATAACAAACATGCAAGAAACGTGTACAAGTGTAAATAGATAAAAAACAGCAACAACATTGATGGTAGGAGGTGGTTACAAAGAGAAATTACTTAAAAAAGAAAGAGAAATTACTTAAAATTTTCCATATAAATCATGAAGTATCTTTCAGATACCTTTACGTCTTTTATTAAGCAAGAACAGGAAGAAGCTCAAATTTGGCTTGAGAAATAATTACCATATCAGTGTGGTATCTTCTGCTTCTTTCAGTGTAAGTGGGTTTTGTGAATTGTGGGGGTTGTGGCGGGTTGGGTAGTATCTGTAGTCTGGAACCATTTGATAAGGGCACGCGTAACAAGAGCATCGGCAAGGCAACGACGAAGCTACCTCCCCAGCAACAGCAACAGCAACATCGACATCGACATGAGGCTGGTGCGATAGCGACACGAGACAGTGTTGAAAAATGCAATTATAAAATGCAATTAGCCCTCGAAACTTAATTAAAAAGGCAACGGAAATGAATACTGAAATACAGAGGCAACTCTACGTGCATACAGAGTGCTGTGAAAACGAGGCGACACAAAATAGTTAAGACTGATGGACGGCCAAATTGAAAATCTGACAGCAAAAGTTGTCTTTAAGACTGTATTTGTAGATATATATATGCATATATATATACTACGGGTGCATACGATATCAGCTCACGAAAATCAATAAAGCGAATCAGGCGCAATGACGTCAAAAGGGGGTTTTTGAGGTCTAAAAAGGGGAATGAGAATTGAAGGTAACATCTCAGGTAGCAAAGCTTAGTTAAACTTGCTTGGTTTACCCTTAAAAGAGTATGGTAATTTGAACAAGAAGCTAAGAAAGGTGTAAGGGAGGCTAATTAAACACTCTAAGCGACAGCAGACGACTCGATCTAGTTACTTAAGAGCCAACAAGATTTATAATTTGAAAACTAATATAGTATCTTCAATGCTGATTAAAGGGTATTTAAATTTCGGCTTGCTATAGTTACCATTCCCGTTCTCGTTAATATTTAAAATGAGAAACGAGGAAAAGCCGCAAATGGAAATGGAGAGCATACACATAAACAAAACTCGGCCGGGACGTGCCTCGTGACGTTGATGTCCCGTTGACGATAGACTCATTCACCAACCCCCAAACCCCTCCACAACCACTACCCCCGCAGTACCGCCCACTCAGCCAGACGGGGCGGCACTTGAGCTAAAAGTTGCAGACGGTCTGGCATGGTAAAAAAATAAATTAACAACACCTAGGTCGCGTGCCCGACTATGACATACTGGGTAATCATTAAAAAAAGGAAGTTGGATGTAAAGAAATCCTTGTGGATTTGAAATCTTAAAAAACGGGTGCTGAAAAGTATGCTGCATAAAATAGGACAATGTATTGAGCTTTATATTGCAGAGGTTCATTGAGGTCACCCGAAAAGTAAATCGATTTATTTGGATCTTGCTTGTAGTCTTTCTTACAAAGATCTTTATATTTTCATAGAATTCCTTTTCGCAAAAAGAGTATATTTAGCTTTAATATCAAAAGTTTTCCCTAGTGGCATTAATCTTTCCTAAACGCACATACTCCTTGCACCTACGATATTACAGGGCATGAATAGAAATGTTGCAGTAGTAGGCAGCATAAACAAAGCACCCACCAGGGCTTCTGCCACCGCTTCTGGATGATTCAGATCCTCCTCCAGTTAGTGCACTCCACAGATGCTCCAAACAACAACAACAACAATAAGAAGCATGGCGGGTAAATGCAGTTGGTGACAAAGCAACAAAAGCAACCATAGAGAGAGGGAGAGCGGGGAAACGTAGACCGTTATGCCGGCCGGGCAAGTTTACGGCCATTGGCAGACGGCTGCAGCCGAGAATGCATTAAAAATGCACAAGTGGCGCAGGATATATGTATGTAAATAGGGGTTTAATACATATATAATCTGTATATACAAAATCAAAGTCACAAAACTGCAGGCAAAGTAATTTGTTGCAAGGGTCAACGGTCAACGAACCCACAGCGAAAAGGGTACAAAATAAGGAAATCTAAAGGGGGGCGATATCCCAAATCATGAGTTTGTATTTTAAAAAGTATTTAAAACGGTTTTAAAAGTCAGGAAGATATCAGAAAAGGACTGCCAGTAAACTTAGTTCCTGAGGGACCAGCAAAAACTTAACTCCCTTGATAACTAAACCCCAAGTACCATATAATTTATAAAACTATACACAGGAGATTTTGCCTTTTTAAGAAATTTGAGCCCTCAAGAATAAGCACAGGAAACTCATAAATCTTAAACATAAATCATAAAACTTTGTTTATACCTATTAAATGCCTTCCGCTAAATTTCAAAAGGAATATATATCAAATTTAAATTATATTAATGAGTGGAGAGGGAGTGATATGAAAATGAAACCAAAATTTCACTATTTATCGGACTGCATGCCTTTTTGATTAAATTTCTTTGTTTTAAGCTATGTATCAATGTAAATGTAAATGTATTTTTGATGCATATGTGGCAACAACAACAACAACAATCAGGTTACGGCGGATACTGAGCTACACACTTGGACTCGGTTAGTGTACAAGACACACATTAACATTATCATTATTATTAATATTATTATCAAAATCATTGTAATAGAGAGGCCCCCATTAGGAAAGTGTAACCAAAAATGGTAACAAGGCACTCACCTTTTGCGATTGAAGAAGCCACCGCCTTGCAGGAAATTGTTGCGCAGATTTACTTCGTCGTTCTGCTGATCATAAACATATAGAGTGAACCGAGAAAGAAAAGAACATTTTGCAACAGTGAGTAATACTGCCAAATGGATTTTGCAATCGCCCATCGACGGCGGCACATCTGTTGCAAATTTTGGCAAGCGTTCTGCGTTTGCAACAGTCCATCCTCGTCGTTGTGTCGGTCACATATTTATGCCGGCCCGGCCCACAAAAATAGCTCACACTTTGAATGACAAACACACACGCGACGCGATCTTCTACGAAAAACTAAATACCAAATTAAAAACACACAAAGCAAATGTGTAAACCAAATCCGAACCCAATTTGGGTTGCTAAAAAGTGAAATGATTGCCGGGAGGCAGAAATCAAAAGCTAAGTGCTTCACTAATTTGGCCAGCCGAAATGCTAATTGGTGACCAACAAACAGACCCCTTTGACGATCGGTGGACGTATGCCGGCGCGTTCTATACAATTTATGTTTAATTGCGGACAAACTTGGACTCGCGACGGATGAGAATGAATCATAATGTACGCCGCATTTTATCGGAACAACAGATAAGCCAGCCTTCGGTGGATACCAGAGGGGGAGGCACAGAACGGAAACAAAGTATTGAGTTCACTGCCAACACAGTCTAAAATCTAGTTCAGCTTTTTGCTTTAGTTACTTAAGAGAAGGTTGATGATTAATAAACACATTGGGGTTGAGGGGAATCCCCTGAATAACCTGCAGTTCAAGAGAATTCCCTAAAGATAGCAAGAGAGAAAGGATCTCAGAAAGGCTAGAAGACATAAGTTGGGGATATTGAATGACAGTTCACCCAATATAAAATAAGTCATCTCAAAATGAAAATAATGTTCTCTTCGACTAAAAACAGAATAGCAAGCCAAGAAATGTACGTTACTTTAAGTTCAATTACGAAAAACGATACTCAATTCCAATATAAACTTACAGCAAAGAGCGATGGACCGCCGCCCTGCATCTGGGGCTGCGATGGGCTGCTGGATAGCGAATCGCAGGCACCGCCCACCACCATGCCCGTGTTGAGGCCCAGGCCGTTGTTCTTCATGCCAAGCAGATGGGAGGTGGGCGAGGCATCGCCACCGCCACTCGCTCCGCCGCTGGGGCTGTGCTTGTTATGATGGAAGGACTGCAGGATATCGTCCAGGGACTCCTCGTTGGCATTAAATCGTACGGTGATCGGTGTGGTGCTGCCCAGACCGGGCGGCGACTTGGAGGCACAGGGCACACCACCACCAGCACCACCAATACCGCCCGCCGCATTGGCTGACGATGTGGGCGATGTGGCGGCGGATGCAGACGCGGATGTTGAGATGGACAGGTTGCTGTTGCTGCCGCTGGCACTGCTGGTGGCACTGTTGGCTGTGAATAGGAAGGATGGTTGAATTAATCATTATTAAAATAAAGCTGTAGTATACATACAGATATCACTTTTGTGTTTTCTAAAAGAAGAGCGGGACTGTCCCATTTTTTTTGACGTTGACAATTTCGAAACAAATAAAGTGTATGAACTACTAACACTAACCCGAAAAATTCATGAATGACGAGTGAAGCGAGCTATTCAAGCTCGAAAGCGAAACTAAAATGTGAGTGTATAGCTTATAACACATATAACAATTTGACATACAAATCAAGGAAGGTTTGATACTATTGAAAAAGTACTAACAAATTTTAGTTTGAAAGCTTGGAAAGAGTTATCGCAAAATGTTGAATAACAAATCTGTCAAAAGTTATACGATAATTTTCTGCGTGTTCTGTGGCAGCGCTAGAGCTAGGAAAACTTTGATTATTATAGCAATGCATAGTTGAAATATAATTTAAATGGGTTTCTTTCTAATAATTTTAATTTAAATACAACTTGATATTCCCTACGATAAAGACACACTTTTAATATCTACATGTATTTCTTAAGAGATTACTTTTAAAAATATATGCATATTATCTTTAACAAACAAATCAATATCTATTAATCCCCATTTAAACCGTAAACAGGACTCTTATCTGTGAGATAATTTGTTCATATTTAAAATAAAATTACTGTTTATAATCTATAATTCTTTCTACGCTTTTAACATTTTGTAATGACTCATAAACATACTTTTCGGGTACTTGGCTTATCAATTTGATTTGGGTAAATTAGCTATGCCTTATCTTTTTCCTATTTTTCATAGAACAAAAGTAAATCGTGCTAGCTGAAGAGTACATATCAAAATTGTTATGATATTCTGTACGTGTAAAAACTCTGTGACAGCATTTAAGCATTTTAATGCCTCTCGAAAGACCTCTCATGACACCTCTTCATGAGTTCCTGAGATGGACACCACACTTACCCTTTGGTAACTTGAGCGAGTCCATGGTGCCCGCACCAATGCTTTCTACGGCTGCACTTGGGCGGATCCGCTGCGCCTCAGTTCCGCTGCTGCCCTAGATGCCCTGCACACAGAAAGTGGAGCAGGCGGGGGAGTAGAGTTCGGCGTGGAAATCCAAGTGTCCAAAACATCAATCGGTGGCGGCAAATGAAAAAGATAGTGAAAGAGAAAGGGAAATGTTAGCTATGCAGATATAGATAGGTTCATCATATTTTCCACTAAACACTTGCTGCTTATTTGTTTCTAAATGTCAACGCCATGCGTCCCCTGCTCTTTTCCCCGCCTTCTTTTACGCCCCTCGCAGCCCAGCATTTAGACCCGCACGTAATTGCGTTTAAAAATAAATAAATCGTACGGGAAAGCGAGAAAAAAAGGCAACAGCAACGGCAACAGCAGCAGCATCGGCAAGGCAGCAATAGCTCTTTGACATTAATTTTTATTTTCCTATTTTTAAAACCCTTAATACATTTTTGCCGCTGCTGACCGTTTGGCCGATTGTCGCGCTGCCGCCAGCTCATCACAAAATCATTCTAAAAATTTTCATTTTGTTCCCCTCAAAGTTGAAAGTGAAATGAGTTGCACACTTTCAGCTAATATTAATATTAAGCTTTGGCTAAAAATGAGGTCAGCCAAGCACTCTATAGTAACCATAATTATATAGGTCAAAGTCATGCCATTTTAGCTGAAGCTTTATTATCGGAATTGAGGATAAAACGATGCTGCAATTTTTATAAATTGCTATAAATACGGATTTACGACTTCATAATGGACAGAGAAAATATCAATTTGTTTAGATTTAAATAAAAAATCATAATTATCCAATTTAAAATATTACAGAATTAAAAGTACAAATTCATTATTGATTTACTTCCTGCTTAAAGGCTCCTATTAAAGCTCGGTTTATAGCCAAGAAACTGACTGAATGCAAAGAGCGCATTGCTAATGGCGTTTCTATGAGACGACCCAACTTTTATGGCCAACAAAAAAGGGTACTCTATCGCTCCACGTTTGCCTTATGTATATCGGGCTAAAAGCGAAAACGTCGCGATAAAATGGGTCATAAAATGTGCAGTGCGTGTTGGGGGGACCGGCTGAAACATCGAAAACAATACAGCCAAACAGCAATCAATCATATTATTGATAAAAAAAAGAGTCTTGGCAAGCGACAGAACAGAACTAACACACTGTTTTTTTGTTGTTATTTTTTCTAAAACTTTTGCGTTTTGTATTTTGTGCATGAGTAATAAATGTGAGTAGATATGGCCTGATAATGGGGTAGCCAGTTCTAAATTTGTAGCGCTATTCAAGTGAAAACAGACTGCTGGGGGGATTACAATTGATCGCTTTTCCAATTACAAAGCCACCCCCGAGGGCAAATGATTTTCAGAGTCCGCTGCCTGGCTGTTCCCAATGTCGGTCAAATATATGCTGCCCAGTTTTGCATACGAAATATACAGCATATATACACGGGAAGAAAATGAAACATAGGTAAGGCGTACTTTAAAAATTGCATTTATAATTCTTAGTTCCTTGAACAGATTAATTAAAATTCTGCTCGAAAAAACCATCCCCTTGGGGAGACACTATTTGGATTTCAACTAATATAAATAATTATAAATAATATAAGGAAGTCTTATTAACCTTGTTCTACCTAATTAAATTGAATTAAATAAATAAGTAATAAATAAATAATAATCATCTTGAATAATTCTTATATCTATGTTTAACGAGTTATTAACTTTAAAAGTACATTTTAAAATAAGTATATAAATATATTAAAGAAATTTCCAGAAACTGTAAAATTACATTAAATTCAGTTTAGCTCAAATATTATGTAGCATACTTATGCGCACCTTATAAAGAGATATTAAAGCATTACGATTTCTGGGTCTTCCCCTTATTATTACATCGATTTCTGAATGGAAAACACAACAGAAGATAGCCATTATTTTCTTTCCGTGTTTTACAATATCCAATTTCTAGCGCTCACCGCCGACGTCCGCCGTCCGTCCCTGGACACGCACTTCATTTTGGGCTGAGCGACCGGAAAACGTCTATTGTTCGGAGGAAAAACAAAACAACAAGCGGGGGGAAAGGCCAGTATAGACTGACTACGGGCAGCGGGGGCTTAATTAGTTAAATGCGGAGACAACAAAATCGTTGTGCCAATGAAATGGCTCACTCGGGCATGAAAGTTCCGACCGCAGGTGCCCCAGTCCAGGCCCAGTATCAGGCTCCACTTCCATTCCCAAAAGAAAATGGAGAAGAAGTCCTGGGCAAAAGGAAAATAAAGCTGGCATAATCAATACATAATTTTGCCCTACAAACGAGACGACGAAAGCGACCCCCAAAAAATAGCCGAAGAAGAAACAACGACGAACGCACAGCAATAACAACAATGACAGTAACGCCCCCGTGGCACACACATACACACAACAGTGGCACACTCGCACACTCGGTCGGACACACGCACACTTGAAAAGTAAACAAGTGTAATGTGCCGCCAAAAGCACAGACTGCTTGGCTCAGCTTCAAGAGAGCGACGACGGATGAGATTGGATTGGACTAGAGATGGGCCGATATTTCGATATCGGGGCATTCCCCGAAAATGTCACGAGTGAGCACAAAGTTAAAGCTATTTCTTTAACGAAATGTTCAAAAAGTACTGTAACTTAGGAAAACATTAAAAGCTTTTAACATGCAATAAGATATTTCATTAAAAACAGTTCTTTAATGTGTTTTTTCAAGAAAATCTTAAAGCATTTCAGGAATACTAAATTAGTAGAAAAATTTTCTATTTATTTCTTAATGAATCAACTTTAAAATTAAGCTTTAATGCTATTAGTTCCTCTAGAATTAGTTCAAGAAAAAGATCTTTTTAGTTATTAAATCCATAACATATTTTTCGCCTCCTTTCATTCCATTTAACGTCATGAATAAATTAGCAAGCTTAGACTTTAAGGGTAAACTTTTTGGGGATATTATTTTTTTTTTTAAGTAAGTAACAAAATTCGTTTAAAGAACCCACCCCTGGTTACGGGCAAGTGTTAATTTGAGAACCAGTTTATAACCTGCTGCCAACCCCAAAAAACGCGAGCGAGCCCTTTGTTTACCAACTCTCGAGAGCCGCTCATCTCTGGCCGAGATGCAGTTAGTTGTGTGTCTGTGTTTAGTATCTGCAAACAGAATTTGGTTTAAAAACCCTTTAGCAAACGAAGTTTGTTTTTGTTTGCTGTATGCTTTATGATGTGTCTGTGTGTGTGTGTGCCACTGCTGTTTCTGTTACTTTTGCTGCCTTTCCTCCTGGTTCGGTGCGCTGTGTGCACTTCTATTATCACGTCTGCAATTAGAGCCAAAGTAACTGGGCCAAGTTGCAGCAGCAGCTTTCAGCTTTTTTGCCCAGCTTTTCTCGCATTTTCACGGGGTTGGAGAATTTTTAGGGGTTTATTGCGGCGTTTGCTTTGCTCGGCCGATTCGTTGCCGTATTTGCCAGTTGCCCCAGTTCCAATTGGTTACGTACACACTCGCAAAGCGCACACATTCACTCGCACAAACACTCGTACGCGTACACACGCACACTCGCGCGCACCTAACGGTAGATAATGCCAGCCCTGGATGAAAACTGGGGCAAATAAGCCAAGAATTTCAAATGTCAATTTTTGACAGGTGTTGTGTTGGGCACTGAAAAAGCGGAAAAACTAACCTTTAGCTGCCTTCCGAATGCCTTTTCTGCCTCTCTCTTCGCAGCAGCAGAAGAAGGAGCAGGCGCACGACGATGAGGGGAAAAACACGGATGGATACACGACGACGATGAAAACTTTCAGGTGCAAGTTTTTCCCAACTGCGCCAGTATGCGTGTTACATTTCCGGGGGTGCACAAACACACGCACACACACACGAGCACTCACACACGTACACGCAGCCTGTGACGTAGATGATGGGTGCTACTCTTTTCGTGCGAAAATTCCTTTGAAGGATATATGCACACGCTTTAATTTGGAATTTTCATTAAGCTTGAAACACTTCACATGAATTTAGCACGTTTAATTTCTCGACATCACTGAAAATTTTGGTTGAACAACAATTTAACTAATTTTTCACTATTTTCGATTAAATTTCCATTTCCAAATTGACTAAAAAAGGGGCCTGTGTGCTCGCGTGTTTTTTGTTTTCTGTTTTTTTTTTCTGTTTCCCGAGCTTTGCGGTCCCTTCCGCTAGTCAGCGACGACTAGATCTACAACAACACCAGAGTTCCTATCGATGTTTTCCACATCGATACATCGGTGTTTTCATCGATAAGATTAGTGAACCAAAAATTAATTTGAATTAATTCTATGTGTACATTTATATGACCAATTATTTGTTTATTTTTATATCATTTGCTATCAATATCGTATGAAGTTAAATTATATAGAAATGTACCTATTTTATTTATTATTTTTAATGTATATATTGTGAAGAGAAATATGTTTTATAGGAATTTCCAGGGATTTCTGGTAAATAAAAGAAATAATAATAAAAGAAAATTTGGTTACAGCTGCTAGGCAGTGTTGCCAGGCCATCTGTTGCAATCGATATATCGATAACTTGGCCCTCCCCTTAATGGGCAGAAAAATAAATAATTCCCCCCTTTATGCTGTAACAATTATAAAAGCACTACAATAAGTCAGTAATTAAGAAAGACGAGAGATTACATAAAATACTCAGATGTCTGGCAACGCCACAGCTGTTGGGCCCTCTAAGAAACAACAAAAGAAAACAACGAATTACATAAAACTACATGACTTACAAGAACAACACAGTCCTCCAATGGTTCTTTTGTTTATCTCCGCTTCTTTTTTGGCACAACCCCTTAACACCAACACACTCACACTCACGCGTCGCGAATTGTTGCTATTATATTGTTATTGTCTTTGGTTGTTTTCGTAGCGCTGCGTTTCGTTTTTGGCCGAGTCTTAATTACAATCACTTTCGTAGAAAAGGCGTACCACAAAATATTCGCGCACCCAGAGTCTTGATCCCCGTGTTTTGTCTTTTTGTGGTAAATCGTGTCCTACAAAAGTCCGTACATTTTTTTATAATTTTTTTGTGTGTGATATTTTCTACAAATTTTCCGGCCAGAACGAAAGCTACTCGGGTAAAAGCGCACGACAAACTCAGAATTTCATCGCCTGCTGGTTGGTCGGAGCTTATTGGCTATGTGATGTGTCTATTGCTGGATACCCTTCCCTTCAGGGTGCATAGGCAAAACGTGTTCTATTTTATTCATAAGAATGGTAAAGTTCATAATAAAAATAATGTCCGTTATACTGGGTAATTTATTATTTTTGTTAATTAAAAATGTGATTTTTTAAGATTGCTTAAACGAAATTATAAGATATTAATTTAATTGATGTGCTGTTTATGTATCTCCTTAATACCCTACTTCGATATACACACATTGAAATTATCGAAGGTGCACAGCTGTTTAAGAAGAGCTGCCACCTTCTTCATATGCTGAGCGCGGTTTTTAAAAAGCAATGAAAAGATATTTGTAAAACGTTGAATAAGTTTGTGGTTTCATTTTTATTTTATTTTCGTCTTTTTCTGGAACAAAAATATGACTGTTTTCTTTGAATAATAAATATATTATCAAGTCCGATCTGCTTTAATGACAATGCTTCTGAAATTCCCCATTTTAAAATACACAGCGAAAAATAGTATACATTTTTGCATATTGAATATTGAATTGAATATTAAATATTTTATAAATTCCTTCACTTTTTAGTTTAATTTATTCATTTTATAATTTTGAACTATTTTGAAAGAAAAATAAATAATCTCAAACAATTTTATTTTAATCTTTGATTTGTTTACCCATATACATATATATTGTTTATACATATATAATACACATGGTATAGCTCTTTTTGCTGTGTCTTTCTTCATAACAAAGATGAGACCGGTTCTTGATAAGCTTGAGATTCTCAAGCACGACTTGTCTGACCGCTCATCGCAGTTACGATCGCGATTCTCACCATGACGGATGCATCTCGTTCCGTCGTCGCCGGGAGCTGCTGCCTCCAGTTGCTACCCCTCGTTTTTCTCCTCCTTGGTGTTGTCCAGGGATACGAGGTGCCCAAGGCCCACATCGAGGCATTTTATCCCAAGGGATTCGAGGTCTCCATTCCGCATGAAGAGGGAATCACACTGTTTGCCTTCCACGGCAAGCTCAACGAGGAAATGGAGGGCTTGGAGGCCGGCACTTGGGCCAGGGACATTGTCAAGGCAAAGAACGGGCGCTGGACATTCCGGGATCGAAATGCAGTCCTCAAGCCCGGCGACATTCTCTATTACTGGACGTACGTTATCTACAATGGGTTGGGTTATCGCGAAGACGACGGGTCGTATGTGGTGAATTCCTACAGTGGCAACAACACTTCACGACCTCCGCCCGTTCCCGTTGATCCCGGCACATCGTGGAGTTCTCCCGACGATCCGGGCCTAGACATACGAATGGGAAGCTGCCAGAGTCCCAAGACCCAGGTGAATGGAGCCCCCACTCGGTGTGTGGGTCAACTAGTCTTTGTGGATGAGTTTAATGGCACAAAGTTGGATCCCAACAAGTGGCAGGCAGAGCGAAGGTTTTCTGGAGAACCCGACTTTGAGTTCAATGTGTATGTGGATGATGCTTCGGAGACCTTGTGCCTAAAGAACAGCCAAGCTATTCTCGCCACGACCACTATGCGGAAGCTCTACAAAAAGGGGCCGGAAGGAAAACTGGACTTGTCGTTGGATGACCATGTCTGTACGGGGTCGGCCAACACTCACGACTGCGTCCGTGATGGGAGGACAATAAGGGACGGATTACCGCCGATTGTCACGGCTCAGTTTACCTCCAAGCAGTCCTTCTCCTTCAAATACGGTCGAGTCGAGGTGCGAGCCAAGATGCCGCGAGCTAACTGGGTGACGCCGCAACTTTGGCTGCAGCCGAAACACCACGTATACGGAACAAGCGACTACAAGTCGGGCCAGATTAGGATCGCCTACACCCGACCGGCCAACCGTATGTTGGATCTGTATGCCGCCGCCGTCCTGTATGCAAATGAGCCCCTGCGTTCCGCGAAAAGCTGCTTAAAAGCTGGTACCGGCGACACCTCCGAAGACTGGAGCGACAGCTTCCACACCTACACCTTGGAGTGGACGCCAAATCAACTGCGCTGGCTGGTCGACGGCAAGGAGTGGTGCGTCCAGGGCAGCGACAAGGGAGCCTTTAGCGAGACAACCGCCGGCGGCCAGCGGCTGGTGAATGCCCAGAAACTGGAGGAGGGCACCGGACTGGCACCCTTCGATCAGGAGTTCTACCTAACCTTTGGGCTGAGCGTGGGTGGTTTCAACGAGTATCAGCATGTGGTAAAGGAATGGAACGAGCAGTCACCGCAGGCTCAAAAGAACTTCTGGAATAGCATCAAGCAACATCGTGACCACTGGATGGCCGAGGGCCAGATGGTGATTGACTATGTCAAGGTGTATACATTGTAACCGAATACATAAATATAAAGATATACTTTAAATATAAACAAATTTAATTCCAGAAAATAAATTTTATGTTTCTAAATCTCAAGAAATACATTTAATAGAAGGTTTTTTTAAAAACTCAAGAAGTCTTCGCTGACACTTACCGTTTTTTCCTCATCGCTGACTTGGCTGATATTCATCGATGGTTAATTGCTTCAAGTGTAGTTATATTCCTTCATTCCAATGAGGTGAGATTTGACGGTTTGCTTATATGATCCAACACCCATCACTCCAAACAAAAGACTGAGGCAGGTGCAAGGATCATGCCTCTATTTATACTTCTGAGTGTGCATGGAAGAGCAGAGCGAGAGAGATGAAAAGAGCGAGAGAGATGAAGAGAGCGAGAGATAGAGATAGATTTGGAGAGTGTGAGAGGCAGATATTCAGAGAGGGAGAGATATATAATGAGACAGACAAAACGAAACAGACACAAAAATTGGAGTTCTCCTCCGGTTTTTTAAAATTTAAATAACATCCACGGTATTTTTCCGTTACGCCTGTTTGGTATTTTTGGACAGGCTTTGTATTTTCGAGCGCACTGCCAACGGTCACATTGATTTGCTCACATAACCTGCTGGAATTATTTTGCCGAAAACCACAAGTAAATCGTAAAATTGTGAAAGTTTATCAACATTCTAACTTAAACTTGATATACCCACGTACAGATCCTAGCAAGATGCAGATCACTCGCTTCGCCCTGCGCCAGATCACCCGCCAAGTGCGCCTGCAACGCATGTACAGCGCCGCTGCTCCGGCTGCCGCTGTCTCTGGAGCAGAGAAACTGGTGCCGCCTCCGCCAGAGGGTGCAGCCAAGCCACCGAATCCCAAACTGGACAGCATAGTCAACAACATTGCCGCCCTGAATCTTCTGGAGGTCGCCGAGCTGAGCACGCTGCTTAAACAGAAACTCAACCTGCCTGAAACCGCGTTCGCCCCCCAGTTCGCCGCTGGACCGGCACGTGCTGCACCCGCCGAAGATGATGAGGAGGCAGCGCCCAAGAAGGTGCAAACCTCGTTCAAGGTGAAGCTGGTGAAGTTCGATGAGAAGCAGAAGGTGGCGCTGATCAAGGAGGTGAAGAACCTGCTGGAGGGCATGAATCTGGTCCAGGCCAAGAAGTTCGTCGAGAGCGCCCCGACCATTGTCAAGGAGGATGTACCCAAGGAGGAGGCCGAGAAGCTGAAGGAGGCTCTGGCCAAGGCGGGCGCCATCATCGAGATTGAGTAGGGTCAACGCAATGCTCGCCTTTTTCGTTTTTCTATTCTGCGTTTAGCTGCTAGTTATTGTTTTAATAAAAAGCCAGGCAACATTTGCTGTAAACTTAATCAAAGTGCGTTTTATATTTACTCAAGATTTAAGTAAGAATTAATTAGCTTAAAAGAGCTCCAAAAGTTACGCAAATCGAAATATGTAAGCTTAAAAATAAGATTACTGATATTATTAGTTACCAAAATATAATTAATATTTAATTATAAATATTCACAGTTCTAGGCAGCTAAGCATTATTCATTGTATTAATTTATCAAACAGAATTTCAAAATTTCAAGTTAACAGAGCCTTAACAGCGGAGCGCAAGTTAAAAGATTGGCAGTTGGCAATGCGAAGGCTTGCGCTACACTTGCTACTTTCTACGATTCGCCCTGGAAAACAATCCAACTGTCAATCCACTTTTACCTTCTTTTTGAGATTAAACATTAATTAGTAACTGGTATTGTCGGTGATTAGTGTTATCCTGCTAATTGGCGACGTGCGAGGCGCGTTCTGGTAAATGCAGCGATCAACGGGCGCCCTTACACACACGCGCCGCCGCAACCGTTTTTGCCGTCGCGTTGGCAACTCAACCGAATTGTACCGTTACATCATTTGTAACCGATAATCGAACGCTTTTAAAATTTTTATTTATAGCCACAAAATGGCAGCCGCTCGAGCGGAAAGAAGATGATAGACGAGCGAGTTTACAGAACGCCGGGTAAACATGATCGACACTTTCTTTTATCTCCGGCAATCCCGGTAAAGGCAGAATCATGCGGCGCTGCACGCGTGCGCTCTAACCACGCAAAATTGGGTGCCAGGCATTTCTATCACTTTCCTCGCCCAGAAAAAAAATCGGTTTGTTGTCGTCCAGAAGCGATACGCGTAAATTTTGGTAACAAATAAAGCCAATACGGTGAAACAAGCCGGCCAACCGATGACTTCCTATGCGTGAGTGCTCCACATTCTCTCCCGGCCAAACGAAATAAGCCTCACACGATCTCCAGACAGGACCGGAATCAGGAACAAAGAGTAACTAAACTTATTTTTACACTTCATATGCATAATTCGAATAATTTATTATTATAAAAACTTTTTAGTGGCTTCGCCATGCAGCTTCGATTTCCTTTTTAGTGTTACCCCAAAGCTATCTTGGGGTTTTTCCTATACTAATTTAAATTAGCAAGCAAATATTTTAATTTTAATATTAATTTTAATAAAAACAGCATGTTATTATTATCTACTAAATCGGTTAGCTCAAACTAAAATTCATAAAACTTATATGAAAAATATTAATTTACATTTTTAAGAATATAAGAAATGTAGATTAACTTTAGGAATTTTTTGGGTCAAAATAATACAAAAAAATTTTTAAAAATATGCATTTTAGAGAATTCCCTCGGCCGCTCCTGCCCACAATGCAAGACGCGTCGGGTTCTCTCAATTAGCACCTGCGTTGGCCACAGGCATGGAGCACACTGTGCCCCCAAAACTCGGATCTCTATCGGCTCAGTCACCATTGTGTCACACGCGCGAGTGGACGTCTCTCTCTCTCACTGTCTGTCGATCGGATTCCAATCCGTTCCAGCTTCGTTCCAGCCTCCATTTAAGCTGAGTGAAAACCGAAAGTGATCCATCCATTCATCATCATGTCTGACGGCAGCAGTTCCTCGCGACTTTTGGCCCTCGTGGCCATCTTCTTCAGCAGCTACATTGTGGGCATCTACAGCGCGGCACGGGCCTCCAGTAGCTTGATCTTAACTCCGGATAGAAGTTATAATCGGACTTTGAATAATACACTCCTCGAAGAGGTAGAAGAGAACTCCTCCACTGGCCTCGCCCGCAGCGGCTCCCGACATCCTCGCTGTAAGTTTCAACTGGAAGAGATCGCAGCTTCCAGATCATGCCGGATGAGTGCCGGTGGTTTGTTTCTCCATCGTGGTGGTAGTATGTGGGTCATGCCTCAATTATCACCCACTGTGCATGAAGTGCCGCAGGTGGATTCTTTAGTCTTAGTCGTCCCCATGCCCTACAACTCGTCATTATTGGGGTCTGCTGGCAAAGGTTTCCAATTGCGCGTTGCAATTTGTGAGCAGGGAAACCCCGCTAAAATGATTTGGCATTTGCAAACTAAAATAATTATATAAAATACAAATCAAAAACAAAAAAGAATGCTATCCTCCGGAGCCGAAGTTTATATCCTTGCAGTTTGACAGATAGACTTGGCTGTTAATAATGATCAAGAAAATATATGATTTATAGAACCGGAAATGTAACTTCTAACTAAGACCAAACCATGCAAAGGTATAACAATAAATTTTAATTATATAAAGGGGATACTTTTTTCCTTTTTGTAAGGATATACTTTAATTATATATAGTAAACTTGGAAAATCTTTTAAATCCTTTTTTCCGTACTCTGTTTATATTCATTATTATTATTCTGTAATTGGAAGTGCATTCTCTTTAATATTTACAGTAATCCTTAAGAAGAATCCATCTAGCTTTGAAAATAAATTTCTTACTAATTATTTAGCCATTCAAATAATTTTTGTATTAATAATTAAATTTTTATCGAGACTTATAGTTAGTTCTCTAAATTGATAGAATCCCTCAAGCTATTACAAGGAACTTGTTAGATTTTTAAATTTTTATCAGTCTTAAAATTTGGAGGTATTCAAGGAACTCAGCTTGAATTTAAGGTTTCACCTAAAGTACTTAAAGAACATGTACTGTAATATATATATTTTCGACTGCAATATATTACCCACGGTTTAATAACCTGTAATAAAGCAGTTAATAGTGATATAACATAATAAAGCCTCGTCTTCTGTTCAGTGCCCTTTGAATGACACATTATTTCTATAATCTTTTTAGGGTTTCCGTTTTACACCATTGGTCGTTTCTCCAATGACATTTGCACAGGCAACAACCTGCTTCTCGGCACCTGTGTAATCAATGGTGAATGCTCGGACAACAGCGGAGTGGCGGCGGGCAGTTGCTCCTCTATTACTGCCCAGGCTATCTGCTGCATTTGTGAGTAATTTCTGGAGATTAATAAGAATCATTTAATCAGACATTTCCTATTAAATTACAGATCAAAGAACATGTGGAGCGAGTACCTCCTACAACAACACCTACTTCTACAACAGCAACTATCCAGCTCCATATGCTGGCGGTGGAAGATGCTCCATTGTAGTCACGCCACCGGATTCAAGCATTTGTCAGCTGCGCGTGGACTTCCTTTCCCTATCGCTGGCTCCACCCTCGGGCGATGGATTCTGCAACACCGATGCATTGACCATCACTGGAGGAGCCTCACAAGTGCCCAGCATCTGTGGCGAGAACTCTGGTCAGCATGTTTATGTGGACTTTAATGGCGTCAGTCCCATCACCATCTCGGTGGCCACTTCCTCCGGTTACACCTTCAACCGCAACTGGCAGTTCCAGATCCGCATGCTGGGCTGCACGTCGGCCACCTTGGCTCCTGCTGGATGTCTGCAGTACTATATGCCCAGCAGTGGTACCCTCGCCAGCTTCAACTACGTTTCAGCAGCCTCGTCCGCCCTGAATTCCATTGGAGTCCAGGGCACCAGACAGCTGGCGAATACAAAGTATGGGATCTGCATACGTAAAGCAGCTGGTATGTGCTCCATTACCTACAGCCAGGTCAGCTCGGACACGTATTCCTTTACGCTGACAAACGACGTCGGAGCTGTGGATCCGACGCTGCTGGCCACGTCCTCGGTTCAGAGCCAGGAGTGCAGCACGGATTACATTGTTATACCGGCGCCCACGCAGGGAGGCGTCTCGCTATCCAGTGATCGCTTTTGTGGTCTGGGCCTGGTGTCCACGACCACTGCGGCGAAGCCCTTTGTGGTCTATACGGTAACGGACGGCATTGAGGATCTGGACATATCGAATAGAGGATTCTATCTGTCGTATTCACAGAATGCGTGTCCAATTCTATAATTTTGGGGGAAAATAAAAGACTTGATTTATAAATAGCAGACGAAATTGTATATTTGTGGCTGGGAAGGACAAATAAATTGTCTGGAAAGTTTCAGAAGTAATCATGTTAGTCTGTGAAAGTAATTAGCAAAAATGATCTAATTAGAAACTACAGTGTTTTTCAAGAGATATTGGAATCACTTTTGTGGAATCAAAATAGCGAGAATCGTGAAAAATAACTTAAAAGCTTAAATAGAAATTAACAGATGACAGGTAAAAATTAAAATTCAACTGCGAACAATTTACTGAAGACCAAAATAAAAAGGAATCGAAGGGATTTGCTGTTAGTTTCTCACTCTTATTAAGGATTTAATATCCCATAGTCAACGACTAAATTATAAAGTCTTTCTTAATTATTCTCAGTCTTTATTAGATTTTTTGTTTTGGTTTTTAATTATTTATTAATTCTAAAACAAACCACACGCGACTAAGTCGATACGGCAATACAACAACAGAAGTAGATAATCACGATTACGCCGCCAGTCGAATTAGGCTGTCAATCTCCGCCTGTAGCTCCTTGACCTACAATAAAGCCCAAGTCATTTTTAAGAAATCATGAAATTATTTAAAGAAATAAAAGAAAACGTTATCCGACTAACCTTATTTTCAAAATGCAATTTGGTGTCCTTGTTGGCCATCAGCTGGAAGGCTTCATTGTCCAGACGCAAGCGATACTTTTGCAGCTCGGTGACCAGCCTTCGAAGCTTCTTCACATTCGCCTGATGCATCTCGTCGCGCTTTTCGGAAGTAAGACCCACTTCTTCGCTGATCGTTATGCCAAAGGAACAAAGAGCACCCGCAGTCGAGAAAAAGTTCTGCTTCTCTGGGATGTTCGCGTTCTCGTCCATTAGCTCAAGATCCACGACCTCACAGCGCGTAAGCACCTTGATTTGTGGCAAGTGACGACGCAGGATGTCCTGGGACTTGGCGTTCTGGGCAAACAAAGTGAGATGCGGATGGTGACGCTTGCTGATCTCGTTTCGACTCTTCACCTGCCGCACACTTTGGCAGATGTTGACCATCTCGTTGACTTCATCCTCCAGCTTCTGGTCTCGGAATTTAGACAGATTGAGCTCGACATTCATCGGCACATGCTGCAGCAACTCGCTGGCTACGAATGGGGTGAACGGGGACATGGCCTGCAGACCCCAGCTGAGGCAAGCGGTCAGAGTGCCCACATGGATGTAGGCGCTTTCCTCGCGGTTGCTTATTGCCGTCTTGGTGGTCTCCTACAAGTGAAGACCATTTATATTTGAGAAAAAATTCATTGACTTAAGCAAACACACACTCACCAAGTAAGTATCACAGAGATTTTGATAGAAAAATGTCTTCAAAGCGGCTGTGGCCACATGGAAATTGTTTGTAATGAAGCTTTCGCAGACAATAGACAAGGTTTCTGCCAGTCGGCCAAGGATCCAGCGATCCCACAAGCCCAGATTAACGCCATTGAGCGACTCAAAATCCTGCAAAGCAACTCCCAGTCCCTTGGCGGAGCCCATGGTAAACCGCATTGCCTGCCAGATCTTATTCAGGAACAGCTTGTTGGTGTGACAGGCGTTCACATCGAAGCTAATAAAGTGACTCTTAATATTGTGACTCATAAGAGTGAAGCGCAGGGCATCTGTGCCGCATTCCTGAATGCCCTTGGGGAACATCTTGGTCAGGCCAGCCTTGGAGGTCCTGAGCTCTTCGGGCTTGATGATTCCCGCCTCGCAGGACTGCTCCAGACCTGCCTTTAAGCTCTGCAGGAATAACATGATAATAAAGTTTCACAAAAAAATATAAAGTAGGATCGTACCTCCAAACTGGCGCCCTGGACCACCTGCTGTGGGGCGACAATGTTACCCAGACTCTTAGACATCTTCCTGCCCTGGGCATCGCATACTATGCCATTAAGCAGGATCCTCTGGAAGGGCGCCTCGCCCGTCAGCTTCAGGCCCATCATCATCATCCGAGCCACCCAGAAGAAGAGTATGTCGTGACCAGTCTGCATCAAGTCCAGGGGATACCGCTCTTTGTAACTCTCATCCGGCCAGCCGGCCACGGAGAACGGCAGCAACGAGGAAGAAAACCATGTATCCAGTACGTCGGGATCACGTTTCAGCGTAAATTCATCGCTGCCCACCAATTGCTTGGCCTTCCGGCGGGCGGCCTCCTCGCTGAGAGCGGCCACCCAGTGACTGGTGCCCTTGGCAGACTCCGTCACCTGGTAGGCGGGCACTTGGTGGCCCCACCACAGCTGCCTGGATATGCACCAGTCGCGACTATCCTGCAGCCAGCGTTCCCATTCCGTTTCAAAGCTCGGCGGCTGGATCTGAAGCCGGCCGCTGTGGAGCTCGGAGAGGGCGTTTTTGGCCAGATCCTTGCACTTGAGGAACCATTGCGGCTGTATCATGTACTCGATAATGTCCTTGGAGCGCGAGCACATGGGCAATTGCATGCTATGGGCGCGCACCTCCCGCAATAGATCCATCTCCTCCAACTTATTGACGATCAATTCGCGCGCCTCAAACCGTGGCTTACCCTCGAACTCCGGATGTGTATCCATCACGTGACCAGTTTCGGTGAAAACCTGACTCGGCGCCAGCTTGTGGCGAGTAGCCACTTCAAAGTCGAACTTGTCGTGGGCGGGCGTGATCTTCACGGCTCCGGTGCCAAACTCCTGGTCCACAGCGATGTCAAAGATCAGTGGTATGGTGTCGTTGCGAAAGGGATGCTGCAGCCTAACCTCCTCTCTGTTCCGGTATTTGCTGTAGCGCGGATCCAGCGGATGCACGGCGACGGCTACGTCGCCTAAAATGGTCTCCGGTCTAGTTGTTGAAACCAAGATCTCCTCAACACTGCCATCCGGCAATGTTTCGCCATCGACGATGCGATAGGCGAAGTCGTAGATCCGGCCGAAGAGCACATTCCGCTCGTGACCCGGAACAGCGATCTCCATCGGTGCCTTGATGTCCACCAGATCAACCTCGATGTCGGAGATCGCAGAGCGCAGGGACGGTGACCAGTTGACAAGGGAATTGCGGCGAACAATGAGGCCCTCGTCGAACAGTCGCTCGAAGGCCACGTTTACGGCATGCGCCTGCTTTTCATCCATGGTAAAGTACTCGCGCTCCCAATTGAGTCTGCAGCCAAGTTTTTGCAGATCCTGCACGATTCCGGCGCCCTTATCCGCTTTCCAGCGCCACACCTCGTCAAGGAAGGCCTGTCGTCCGAGCTCCTGACGTGTTTTTCCTTGTGCAGCCGCAATAGTACGCTCCACTACCACTTGAGTGGCAATACCTGCGTGATCTGTGCCCGGCACCCAGTCCACCTCGTATCCCATCTGACGGCGCTCGCGGGCAATTACATCCTGCACAGTGGCCATTAGAGCGTGCCCCAAATGCAGATTGCCGGTGACATTTGGCGGCGGAAGCAGCATACGGTAGGGTCCACGCTTGCAGCCGCTCTTCGGTTTGGGCAGGTTAATCTGGCGTTTTTCTCGCTCCCAATAGGCTTCCTCCACCGGTTTGGGCTGGTATCCAGGGGCCAGGGGCAGTTCCTTAGATGCATCTGACGGTGAACAAGCAAGAATGTCTCAGACGGCGCTGGATTTTTGAATGAAAACGGCTGAAACTCACCTTTAGCTGTGCTGAAGTACAGGCAGGACACCTTTGGCGGGCAGAGGTATTGGTGTTTAAGAAGTTTTCGGCTGAAATTTCGAATTATTTGCATTTTTATTATCTAAAATTGTTATTTGTTATGTCAAAATAACAGCTGGACCCGACTACTTACGATAGCACCAATACATTGAATGGTTTCGATAGCGATATCGATAGACGGGGCGCCAATTTTAATTCAAGCTTCGATGGAGCTTTGAAAGTAAATCTTGTCTGTTGTATCAACAGTTTTCGTCAGAAAAAGGTTTTAAAAAGGGTATAAACAAATTTGTGTTTATAACATCCAATAATTAGAAAAAGTTTTTCAAGAAATAGTACATTTATTTTAATTTTGAAGTATGAATACGTATAATGTGATAATTATAATAACGATAAATTTTAAATCAAATTTTCCATTGATATAAAAACATTTTGGAATGCATCGCACTTTATCGATTCGTCTTGCATGATTCGTAGTATTTAATCAATCGATCTGCCTCTCGGAAACCCGCCTCCGTGGCGCCGTGAACTGTGGAGAAGTGGCTCTGGCTGGTAGCTTCACCGGCAAAAAGTAGTCTGGGATAGCCGTCTCCTCCCATAACCGGGGACGCCAGATCCGAGGGTCCAGTGTCCAGTTCGTCAGCTCGCGTGGTGCGATAGCTGTAGCTGCCGCGAAAGTTCGGATTCGCGAACCATTTGCTACGGAAGAAGTTCTGGGGCGGCGGAACATCGAATCTCAGGAACGTGCAGAAGAGCCATTGCAAGCCCTCGAGCACCCTTTTATCTGAGAGTAACTCAACGCGGCGACCATGCGGACCGCCAATCCAGACTAACAGCAAGCGCGGTTGATGCTTGATCTTGTGGATGCCGGATATGCCCTCCAGCCAAGCAAAGTCCGAGCAGCGAAGCTGCTTTAGATCCTCCTCCCGCCACAAGCAGAAGAAACCGACAAAGTCATCCGGAAATGGCTGCTTCTCATACTCCAGGAACATCTTGTCCACGGTTCCCAGCTGAAGACTTCGGATGGCATTCACCTTCTCGGCCGGCAAGGGCGGGCTAAACATCCGTTCATGCTGCTCCTGCAGGACACCCAAAGACACAGTGCAGATGACATGATCCACGTCAAAAGCGTCTCCATCCTCGCAAACCACTCTCACTTTGTCGGGATCGATAAATTCAATCTTGACAACCTTCTTCCCAAGCAGGACACAGCCCTCAAGTGCCCCCAGCTCCTCGGGCTCATCCTCGCAGACTTTCATCAGAAGCCGTAGGAATCTCGCATAGCCCTTGTCGCGCCAGTTAAGTAATTGATCCCCACTGCACTTCTCGTACTCCAAATGTAAGCGACCGGACACCTCGAACAGGTTATCCGAAGCCAAAATGGAGCTCTCATGTCTCGAAAAGCATTCTAACGCTTCGGTGGCTAATGCACGATCTACTTGAGGCAACTGCGACTCGATCTCCTGCCAGTAATGTTCAGCCAGGTGGCTGCCCACAGATTCCGCTTCTGCATTGCTACCTTTTGGCACACTCATATCTGCGATTCCATACAGCTGTTGGCCAAGTTCGAGGGGAATCACTTCCTTGTTGGACCGCACCATTCGCACACCGCTGAAAAAGTCCCCTGTAAAGTCCAGAAGATCGAGATCTTTTACCATCTCGTAGACGCAGTTTCGCTGCTCTCCGTGACACCACTGGGCACCCATGTCGATGACATTATCCCCAAAAGGAATGGTGTTTATCCGCCCTCCGATTCGTTTCTCCGCCTCAAGGATCTGCACGTTGCCGAATTTGTTCTGGAGGAGCCGGGTGGCTGCTGCTATACCGGAGACACCAGCTCCAATCAGCAGTATCCTGGAGGAGGCCCGACACTTTTTCATCCCGATCGGTTGGTTGGCTTCCAGTGTCGTCTGTTAAACAAAACAATCAACGAGCTACTGATCGGGATTTCGAGATGTGGCTTAACATGTAGCATTGTTGGCAAGTGCATTTCCACGGCTTCAGTGGCGGTTTCAAGTCACCACGACCTGTTGCACGCACCACAAAAATGTAACTATGATAATCTGGGTCATTTAAGAGCTTAGATGTGCCTTATATTTAATAGAAACAAAAAATCTATAGCACTTGCGACGAATACGTATCTACATATGTATATTCTTTACAACAAGAACTTGGAGTTAACTCTTTAAGTGTACTGTAGATGGATTTAGCAGACATGGTTGACAAATATTTACAAAAAATTAAACCGATTTAACTAATTTTAATATAAGAACAATAACATTAATAACAAATATTTATTAAATTTAATGACTTTAATTTTGTTATTCAAACTAACGTAATCCGTTTGAAAATAACGGTTCCTCCTTGGTAACATTATGCAGAGTCTGGCTTTTCGCGATAAGTCGCGACGGTCACACCAACGCAAAAGCTCTTCAAAAACAGTCGGACGGGACGGAAACAGAAAAGAAAGAAATGCAATCTGGGCAGTAAGCGGGGGCGTGAAGCGTATTTATCAATTGCCCGGAAAGAATTTACGTGATTTCCACCGATCAGTGGTGCCGGAAAATCCGCCCAAACATCAGCTTACGCTCGTGCATCCACCAGTAGCGGCTGGTTCAAAAACGTGAGAGGAAGGCGGGAGAACACCGGGAGAGAAGCAGGAGGGCAGGAAGCGGCGACAACAGAAGCAATCAAGTGGCAAAAACAGGAGCAGGAGCCGGGGTTTGGCTGGTGGCCAGGCAAAGCACGATGCTAAAAGTTAATTAGTGTGAGCGAAATCAAATTGGACACCCCGCAGCGGCTGCTGGGGTTGTGGTTGTTGTCGTTGTTCCGACTCCGGGCTGGGGGTTCGCCATGGAATTCGCCGACCTCATAAAGACCCCCAAGCTGGATGGCGTCTTGCTGCACGATCCTGGGCAAGCGGGGACAGGTACGGGTGCGGGTGCACCAACGGTTGGAACGTTATGCATCACCGGACATCATCTGCTGCTGAGCGCACGTCAGGAGAACAGCCAGGAACTGTGGGTGAGTGCTAGGGAGATGGCAATACCAATGTGCTTCGGCCCCAATGGAGCGTAAAGTTGTCAGCGACTAATTGAATTTCCTTGCCCTGCCATCCTTTCCCTTCTAGCTGCTCCACAAAAACATCGACTGTGTGGAGAAGAAACCCAGCCTGACACAGAACATTGTGGTTGGCGGCATCATCACGCTGAAATGCAAGGATTTGCGCATCATTTCGCTTGAGATCAAGAGTGCCAAGGAGTTCTTCAATGTGGCCACTTCGCTGGAGGCTCTCAGTGCGATACAAAACACCGAACTGCTGTATCCGTTCTTCTATAGGCCCATGTACTCCATCCTTGAAGACGGTTACACGATGTTTAGGTGAGGCGTAGGCAGGGCCAGCAAATGGGACACAATTCAATTATCTTCCTTCTCCTCCTTCTTCACTCACCCACAGGCCCGAGCTGGAGTTCGCCAAGCTCATCAGCGGTGTGGGCATGGGCGGTGTTTCTTCGCCGAATGTGGCCAACATAACAATTTGCATGCCGTCAACATCGTCGACATCTATGACGCTGGGCAGTGCTAGTGGTGGCGGCATTACCCATCCCCTGCAGAACGGCTATGCGATGGACGCCCTCCAAGGTGGACTGGGTGGTGGCGGCAGCGGGGCCAACGCCTGCGAGTGGCGAATCAGCAACGTCAACAGAGACTTCAGCGTCTGTGCCACATATGGCGCCACGCTAATTGTACCTAAAGCAATTACGGACGAGCAGATAGTGCTCTCCGCCTCATTCCGGGACGGCGGACGATTCCCCGTGCTCAGCTACAGGCATGAGAATGGAGTAAGTTAATGCAGCCACGCCCGCATATTTGATTAGATTAATGCAATGAATGATTCACCATTTTTGAACAGGCCACTCTGATGCGCAGCTCCCAGCCGCTGTCGATTCAAGGAATCAAGCGCTGCCGAGCTGACGAGGCTATCCTAAATCTGGTCCTGGGGCGCAGCCGAAAGGGCTTCATCGTGGACACCTGGGGCAAGGGCAAGTCTAACACGGAGACGGACCTCCACTATTCGCAATGGAAAAAGGTAAATCGCTCAATCGGCAACGTCAGCTCGCCGGCTTCCATTTTGGACAGCTTTGCTCGGCTAATAGAGGCCTGCAATGATCTGAGCTGCAGCACGGATAAGTGGCTGTCGCGTTTGGAGGGCAGTGGCTGGTTAACTCTGGTGCTTAATTCACTCAACGCCTCGTGTGTGGTGGCCCAGTGTCTGGATCAAGAAGGCAGTCCTGTGCTGGTGCACGGTGCCAAAGGCTTGGACTCGACGCTGATTGTCACCTCGCTGGTGCAGATCATCCTCAATCCCGACTGCCGTACTGTAAGGGGGTGAGTTTGCCCTAACTACATCCTCTGCAGGAGAGTTTCCTATATTTCTGTATTACCTTTTCAGCCTTCAGGCGCTGATAGAGCGGGAATGGATCCAGGCGGGACATCCGTTCGCCTCCCGTCATCGCTACTCCTGCTATACTCCGAATCAAACGCGCCAGAAAACCTCTGGTGCCACCTTTGTGCTCTTTTTGGACTGCCTCTACCAGCTGTACACCCAGTTTCCCTGCAGTTTCGAATTCAGTACGCAACTGCTGATCCTGCTCTTTGAGCACAGCCACTTTTCGCAGTACGGAACGTTTCTGTGCGACTCGGAACGGGAGCGACGGGAGCTTAATGTTCACACGCGAACGACGAGCTTGTGGTCATACCTAAACCGACCAGACGTCCTCCAAACCCTACTGAATCCCCTCTACGAGCCCAATGCCAGTGTGATATGGCCATCAGTGGCGCCCATTAGCTTGGAGCTATGGAGCGGTGAGTTATGATTGTATTCTTGCTGTGATTAATGATTACTAACCAAAGCCTTGAATCACTCCCAGATCTCTATTTGCGTTGGGTGATAGATCAGCGAAGCTGCGCTACAGTCATGTCGCAAATTCAGGAACTGGTGACACGCGAAAAGGAACTCAGAACGCAGGTGAGTAAAATAAATCGTATAAAACGAATGTCTCTAGAATCTTACCCGTTTCAGGCCATCAAACTGCGTAAACAAGCCCTGGAGCTTGGCCAGGAAGTGTCGGAAATGATGAGTGGCAGTGCAGACGATGCATAGGAAAGAATGCCTACCTCAACAGCAGTTCTCTATCTCTTTTATCTCTCTCCTGCATGATATACAATTATTTTTGATACGTTCTGTTGCAAGATTTCGATAATTATTTAAACAAATAGATAGCAACACTAATGTTAAGTCACCAAAAGTTCCATTTACAAGAAAGTTTAACTCAACATATGCTGAAGAATTGATCGAGGCAAAAACCTTATAATAACAGTAATGCCAAACGATATTTTGCACTCGAATTTTCGTCATGGCTCCAAACTCTCTTGAAATTTTGTTCTAAAGAAAAATAACAAGAATTATTGAAACAGAATTATAAGATAAACTCAACACAGGATCTGATTTTGGATTCACATCGAGCATAACTGACTCAATTTTAGACATATGTATGTCCATTTTTACCGAAAACTATATAGTTCTACAGGATAACGATGAAGTGAAACGAAAAGAAACTCTTGTACTACTTGTAAATTGCTCTCTAATCTCAGATTTATTAAACTGAAACTGCAACTGCAACATGGCATAAACTATCAAATATTTTGGGTCAATTTTTGACGCATTTACATTTATGGAATTTTTAGCGCATAAGTCTTCAAGAATTATCTATAAATAGTACTTACCCATGTCAGTTAAGCCTCTCAGATTGATCAAATTTAGTATTGTATAAATTCAAAAGATTTGCCTTTTTGTATGTACATTTTTGATTAAATCGCATAAATCGGAAGCTTCAAAAGCGTTTTACATTAACAATTATGCTGTGCATGCGTTAAAACACATTAAATATCCATAAACATATACATATATTGTACATTAAACACACCTCTATACATGTTTTGTAGCTGTTATCCCACTATATTGTATGTGTGTTTATTTCGGATTGTGATCGTATGTTTGAAATGACAGAAATTTGTATGTAATTTATATTCAGATATTTACATATTTCTATTGTGCGTATTTTGTGTAATTATCGCTTAAGTGCAATAAATACGTGTTAATTTGCAGACTGTGTGATTTTTATTCTCATGAGGGGCTCTACTAAGTATGTAAGCCGAGAGGAAAAGTCTGATAACATTTTTATATGATAATTGAAGGATCTTTGGCATAGACCAAAAGAATATTGGCTTTATCGGTTACATCGATACAGGATGCATATGTTCAGCCACCATGAAACGCTTAAAGTAAACACTTCTGCTTTGTATAAAGAAAATTTGTTTATTTTTCGCTAGACTCATATTTATGACAACACCTATGTTTCCTGCTGTTTTTGGGCTCACTATTTATTTTCGCTGTATATAAACGTATATAAAACTCACTTTAATTCGATTACAAATAATCCCCAAATTATCGAAAACAATAACAAAAAAGTTAGTTGAAAGCAAATATTTGTGTTTGTTGAATTAAAAGAATGAACTGAAGGTCAGAGAGAACAATGGGAAAAAAGCTGTTGAATCCTGTAGCTGCTGTCTCAGTTCGATGCCTCGTCCTCCAGGAAGAAGAACTGGCCGGATCGCTTCTGTTCCGTATCCTTGACCGAGTTGTTCTTGTTAATTCGGGGCCTGAAGTTGTTGGGATCGCGTCGGAAAGTGATGCCAAGCAGTTCGAGGAATCGGTTCATGCCATTCAGCAACGACTGCGGCGAGTAGGCCGTCGTTTTTACAGAGGGCTGACCTTCAATAACAATGACACGGTCGGCGAGGTAGGTGGCCATGATGAAATCGTGTTCCACAACAAATCCTGTCTTCTTGGCGTGCAGAATATACCTAAACGCGGACGGAATTCTCATTGAGTTTGGCTTTAATTCAAAAACAATCATTTGTGGACTTACCGCTTGATAACCTTGGCAGCCACCAGACGCTGCTCAGAGTCCAAGTAAGCCGAGGGTTCGTCGATGAGGTAGACATCCGCAGGTTTGCCCAAACACAGAACTAACGCCACACGCTGCAACTCACCACCGGAGAGGTTTTGCACCTCCTGGTCCATGATTTCCTCAATCTTCATGGGCTTCATAACATCGGCAATGAATTGCGGATGCACGTACGCGTCCCGGATCTTATCGTGCAACAGGTGGCGCACATGGTTCTGGAATTTCGGAGAAATCTTCTGCGGCTTGTACGAGATGTTAAGCATGGGCAGATCCACCTTGCCGTCGGGCTGCAGGTTGCCAGCCAACATCCGGATGAACGTCGTCTTGCCAGTACCGTTCTCGCCCAGCAACACCAGGATCTCAGAGTCACTGAAATGACCCTGCTCCACCGTCAGCTCGAACTTGCCCAGGGTCTTGACCATTGATGGATACACATAGTGATTCATGCGCTTGATCTCCTCCTCTGTGGCTGACTCAGAGACCTTAAACGTAAGTGACTCAGTGCGGAAGCGCATGTTCTCGGTGGGCACGAAGCCGTCAAGGAAAATGTTGATGCCTTCGCGGACGGAGAAGGGCATAGTGACAACGCCGTAGCAGCCGGGCACTCCGTACAAGCAGCAAATAAAGTCGGACAAGTAATCCAGCACGGACAAATCGTGCTCCACAACGATGATGAACCTTAAAGAATTAAATTGAGCATTAAACAGACGAAATTATGGGCAGGATTACACTTACTTTGTGGGATGCAGGAGTGAGCGAATAGTCAAGGCAGCGTTGAGACGCTGCTTCACATCCAGATACGAAGACGGCTCGTCGAACATAAAGATATCCGCATTCTGAATGCACACCATGGCGATGGCGAAGCGCTGAAGCTCTCCACCAGACAGCTGCGAGATCTCTCGATCCCGAATGTGCGAGAGGTCCAGCATATCGCAGATCTTTGTCTGCAAGTCACGCTCGTCTTTCTTGTCCAGCAACTCACCGACAGCGCCGCGGACCGCCTTGGGGATCTGATCTACATACTGCGGTTTGACCAGTGCCTTCAGGTTGTCCTCCAGGATCTTGGTGAAGTAGTTCTGCAGCTCAGAGCCGCGGAAGTAGCTAAGAATCTCCGTCCAGTCGGGCGGGTTGGCATATTTCCCCAGATTGGGCTTCTGCTTGCCTGCCAGAATCTTCAAGGCTGTAGACTTGCCAATACCGTTCTGTCCCACCAAGCCAAGCACCTCTCCGGGTCGCGGAATGGGCAACCGATGCAGCTTAAAGGAGTTCTTGCTGTAACGATGCGTTGTGTGCTTATCCAGGTTGCTGGGCAAGTTGATGATTGTGATGGCTTCGAAGGGACATTTCTGGAGGGAAAATAAGGAAAAGAACAATTAGATTACACCAGAGGCAGCAAAGTAACTAATGACCCACCTTGACACAGATGCCGCAGCCGATGCACAGCTCTTCGGACAGCGAAGCAATCTTGGAGGTGGGCGTCACCTCGATGCAGAGCTTACCCATGCGCACCACTGGGCAGGTCTTCTTGCACTCCTGCCGACACCGCTTGGGTTTGCACTTGTCATCGCTGACGATGGCAATACGCGTCTGCTTGTCCGTCTCCTCGTTCTCTTTCCTGCGCGACATGCTGTATGAAAGAGAAATTAACAAGCGGAAAAGGAACAATTAGCCAGCTGTTTTGCTGCGATGTGTAGTCGTCCCCAATCACTGATCTGTATGACAATCAGTCCACTGTCAACGTTGCAAAATCCACAGCCCCGGCCGTCAAAACAAATCTGGTGCATCGCTCCAGGGGAGGCGGGAGAGCTGGTGCGGGGGCTGCGTTCGCCTGCTAGTGAAAGTATAACCTCAAAGCGTGGCCAAAACAATGGCTTTCCACGCTCAATTTTCTTCGTCTGACAGGCAGTAGGCGTTGGCTCGAGTGTCCTCGTTGACAGTATCTTTGTATCTTTGTATTTTACCTGCGAACTAGGCCGAAATTGTTGTAAAACAGACAGAACGCACGCTCTTGCGTGTCAGCCAACAAGTTTCAAAAGGGGGGAGTTTTGAAGAGTTACTCAACACTACTCTAGATGGAGATGTGTAAACTGAGTTATCGATAGCTATAATTAATAATTTTTCTTTATTTATTTTAATCTAAAAATTGTGTCAACAAGGATATTACATTTAGAAAATTAATTTTTATAATTTATTTACTCTTCAGAAAGTCCTTAAATACAGTTTTCATTTAAAATAAAAAAGTTCTTGCCGATATATATTGCCAAAGTCAGTGCTGATAATATCGGTATCGTTATGTTTTTGACAATCCCAACTGGGAGCACATCCCTAATTTTTACACGTCGTTGATTTTTTGTTGGACTGCACAGGCTTAAATATGGTCGTACAAGATGATACAATAAATACTGGGGAACCGGAGAAGGCGGAAACTGTGCCGGTGGTGCCAGAGCAGACCAAGATCTTTACGGTCGAGAGTGAGTTCGACTTGGGCTCCAACTAAACCCACTAGCCCAATGGGACGCTCCCTTTAACCTAAAAGTATGTATGCTAATTTATGTGAACTTTCACTCTCGCTGCAGTCCTGCACATGATCAAGGATGCCCAGCAGCAGCATGGCCTGCGTCACGGCGACTTCCAGCGCTACCGTGGCTACTGCACCCGCCGCATCCGTCGTCTGAGGAAGGCGCTAAAGTACCCGCAGGGAGACAAGCGACACTTCAAGCGACGTGACGTGACTATTGCCCAGTTGACAGGCAAGAAGGCCGACGAGCGTTTCTTCCACATCCCACTGATCAGCGCCGAGCGGGCCTGGGCGTATGCCATGCAGCTGAAGCAGGAGTCCAACACGGAGCCGCGAAAGCGCTTCCATCTGATCAGCAAGCTGCGACGGGCCTGTTTCTACGCCCTTCAGCTCCAGGAGCTGTGCAATGTAAGTGACTAGTTTCGATTGGGGGAGTTTCTATAAAGCTTAATTGATTTGATTTAATTGATTTATCCCGCAGACGGAGGCCTTCGATGCCCGCACGAAGCTGGAGTGCGAGGCCTACGTAGCCTGGATGCATGGCAGCCTGCACTTTGAACTGCAGTTGTGGAAAACTGCCGGCGAGCACCTGAAGCGCGCCCAGGTTGTGTACGAGAACCTGGCCAAGGCCCTGCCCGATGACGAGCAGGAGCTGTATCGTGCTAAGGTGAACGAGTTCACGCCCAACTTACGCTACTGCGCTTACAACATCAGCGGAGGAGCCAGCAGCGGCGGCAAGATCGACGAGATCCTAGAGCTTCGTGCCCAGGGAGTGCTCGAGAATCTGGATGTGCTGGTCAGCCAGACGAAGACGGAGAGCAGCGAGGGCCTGCAGACGATCGACTGGCGCGGTCGCAAGGTTACCGTGCGTCCGGAGAAGGTGCGTCTGTTCCTGCTCAGCGCCCAGGAACTGGACAAGTCGCTGGCAAAGGCCACCAAGCCGGATTCCAAGATCGAGTTGATCGAACGCATTTTGATGGACTGCAAGGACGCCATTCAAGCGGTGCGGGACGAGATTAAGCAGGATCCTAAGCTGCGTTCGCTGACCACAGGCCAAACTGTGTCCGGAGTGCAATATCTTTTGGCCTATTTGAGCTACATCCGGCACAGCCGCACGCTGCAGCGCAATCTGTGCCTCGTGGAGCAGGTAATTCTCTAAGAAACACTTTCGCCAACCATTGCTTATGTATTATCATTCCAGGCCAAGCTCAACTTTGATGACCCCAACCAGCAGTCTCAGCAAAACGTGAGCGACGGCAAGCGCGTGCGGTCCCAGGATCTGGCTCGTCTGTACGAGATCATACTGCAGAACGTAACGGAAATGCAGCAGATCAACGGCATGGAGGACGATGCTCAGTACCAGAGCGAGGTCGAGAATCTTGCCATTACATTCAAGGCTTTCCGCTGCTACTACATTGCCCTCACATTGATCGACATGAAAAAGTGGAAGGAGGCGGTGGCCCTATATGAGCGCGCCTCTAACTACGCCACCGAAGCACTCAAGGGCAAGGCCAGCGCGGAGTTCCAGCTGCAAGCGGAGCTCAAGACGGTCGTGTCCACCATCGAGGGCTGCAAGTTCTCCGCCCACGCCTACAGTGTGCTGGAGGATGACAACAGCGAGGAGGCCGGAACCACCACCAAGTCTCAGAAGACAACGAAACCGCTGTACGAACGCTTGTCGCTTTACAAGGAGGACCAGTCGTTGCACACCAAAGCACCCAACGTGTTCAAGCTCACCCCTGAAATGGAGCCCATACCCTGCAAGCCTCTCTTCTTCGACCTGGCAATGAACTACGTGGAGCTGCCTTCGCTGGAGGACAAGCTGGAGTCGCCTGGCAAGAAAGCCGGTGGTGTTACTGGCTTTGTCAAGGGATTCCTCGGTTGGGGCGGCGGTGGCGGCAACAAGTGAGACGACAACCCACCACGGACCACGACCATCACTTTTCTGGAATTCCATGCATCCATGTTACACTTATAAAGCCTTCAGATCCATGTCCATGGCGCGGTATGTCCGTTGTTCTTTATAAGTTCATTGTTTTTGGCTCGTAACCCCGCCAGATTTGTTTTTTCTACGAACCCTTTTGTAAGTTTAAAAAAAATGAACAATTATTCGGTAATAAAGGAACCTTCAACGAAGTGCTAAAGTTCCTCAATTGAGTTTATATAATCTATATTTATCGAGAGAGAGTTAAATCCTAATACTACATGACTATGAATACTCTTTAAAGGTTCACTAATCCATGTGGAGATAGCCCAGATCGTAGAATTCCATCACCAGCTCCCGGACGCGCAGATGGTACTCGGATGTGAGGGTCTGGGTGCATTTGATTTCCTCCTTACCGGTGAGATTGAGCTCGCTCATCACGTCCAAATTGGGCAGATTGTTTGGATCAAAGGTGACGGCCGGTAGGATCCACATGCCGATAGCCAGACCATAATGCACCTGACGCACATACTCTGCACTGAGGCGCTGCAGAGAGAACACTTCGCTAAGCTCCTGCAGCCGCTCGGCAGCCGGACTGCCCTCCAGTTGGTGCATCAGCTCCAGACCCAAGGCCTCGGAGTAAGCGGCCAACAGCGTGTCTGTGTGAACATCCCTGAGTTCCCTGCGCGTGCTGGTGTATATGAAGTGAAGTATATCGAACACGGGAGAGGTCCTACGCATCGCTTGCAGGTCAAAAAAGATCACTTCTTCCGGTTCCGAGCGGAACATGATGTTGTTCACCCACAAGTCCCCATGACAGATCACACTAAATGGTGTCCTTGCCGTGGCATTAATCTCGCGCTGCAGTTTTCCAAACAAATTGGGTCGCAGCTGGTTGAGCAAGCGGATAGGCGTGGTCAGGCTACCGTCGGAATTGGATCCATCCAAACTCTCCAGGGCCTGCTGCACCGAAGTATCCAATATGGTGGTATAGAACTCGGCCGCCTCCTCGCAGTAAACGATCTCCTGGAGGTGCTCGACCTCGGCAGAAAAGTGCAGGGACTCCAGTTCCTGGGCGGCCAGGGAGGCGGCGTGCAGTTGGGCCAATTTCTGCAAGGATACCATAAGGATAAAGGATATCAAATACGTTTAGATGGGTTACTAACCTTCATCACCAGGAGACAGTGTCGCAGCTCCAAGCCCACCAGTCGATCCTTCATTCGGAATCCCAAGGCCTTGAGGTCCTGCAGGACAATTATGGGGTCGCCTCTATCCGGATTCCGACGATCATTACACTCGGCGATGTGGCACACCGGGAACAGCTGCTGCCGGCTGTAGGCGGCGAGGAGGGGCGCCAGGTGTCGATAGGCGTTGATCTCGTTGCTGAAGGCCTCCTCGCAACGGTAAAGCTGCCGGCGCGAGAGGCTCGCAATCTGGCGCTTTACGATAACGGTAACTGGGGAGTGGAGAGGTGCGAGAGCCGAGGGTATAAGGAAACGCAGAGCAAAACAAAAACACTGAGAGCGTGAGCGACGAACAGCTGACGTTTGTTTACACCGCTGCCAAAGATTTATGAATGAAATGGCGTTGGCCTTGTTTGCGTGAGAGCGGAGAGGTCGTCTCTCTCTCGCGTTGCTCTCTGGGCCTGCCAAGTGTGCGTGTATGTGTATGCGTGCTGACCTTTAGCAAATCTATATTACGTATACGCCGCATTGCATTTAGAATGCGTGGCACAAGGTCAACCCACTCGATGCCGTTGCCGCTCAGCGGTGCAAGTAAAGGGGAAAAATCTGAACTAAAATGCCTTCCTCCGGCTCCGCCTCAGTTTCTGTTCTGTGGTGGTTATTACCCTCTTTTGGAGCAACTTTAAATGCGCTAAAAATGCAATCACTGGTCTAAATACTGAGTATTCACCTACTTATGCTGTTTTTCAATCATGTACCCAATATAATTAATATTCTTTATAGCCTTCCCTGAGGTATTTCTTACCTATTTCCCTCAATCCCTCCTCCGAATTCGTATCCTCCGTGATGGTCACCCGCTTTACCACGGACATGTAGTTGTCACCGCTGCTGCTGCCGGCACTGCACGCGATTTGGGCAATGCTAAAGGATACCAGCTTGCTCCGGCTGAACAGCTGGCGCAAGTGCTCGGCATTCTCCTCGTATTGATTGACAGCAACGCCACTATTCACGGTCATTGTCATTGCCAGGCCACCGCCATTGCTGCGCGAAGGTCCTGCAATCTGCATGGCCGCTGCCATTGTTTCCACTTCACTTAGCCGCCGTCCGCCTGGGAATGGCTGGGACTGAGCAATGTCTGGTGCTGCCAAATCGAGAGCTGACAGTGGCTTTCCGCCGCTGCAGCATTTTTTTTCTAGAACTGACACAATTGCGAATCGGGTCCAGGTCAATTTTTTCGTCCAATTATTATACAATTTCCGCTGGCCCAAGAAAAATTGGTAACACCTCAGCACAGCACAGAAACACACACAACAAGCCCGCCCCGTCGAACAGCAAAACGTCGACTGGCGCAAAACTGCACTACAGCGATTTCACAGAGAGCTGTGAGAAACTGCAGTGGGAATTGCTGAGAATTAAAAATGGAAAAACGCCGCGCTCTCGGCGCTCTCGGTTCTAAATTGGAAAAAACACTTTTTGAAAGCCGGTAGGAGGTGGTTCAGGGTCGCAGCTACAGCTACTGTCGCAGCGGCAGTACTTTCACTCGGCGCCGTACGGTGCGTATACTTAATGTTCCAAAGCGGATGTTGCTCATACGCCGCATCGGCCGAGAGTCGTTCGCATTGGGCCCACAAATTCGTTGCACTTGAAATCGCATCGGCTGCCCTTGGCAGGCGCTGCGTGTGGGTCGAGGCAATGTGCAATAAAAAACTAACAAATAAATACGTATTAAAAAGGGGGCTCAGTTTGTATAACAACATACATAGACTGTGGCTCTTTATTTATTTTATATGAGAAAAGTAAAAGTAAAGTAATTGCTTTATATTTTATATTTATTTAAGTTCTTAACAAATGGGTTTTCCTACTTGGTTTAGGGAAACCTTTTTAAAAACATCTTAATGTGTCCGTTTAAATGTCAAATTCCATGTTTTCTAGTACAGGTTAAAATGAAAATCAGACTTGTCAAGAGCAATATATTTATTTCTGAGCAAAATTAACAACTGAAATAATATAATTTCAAAATTCGGAGTAAATTTATATATGTTTCAAATAATTCAACTAATGTTTTATTCATATTAAATAAGGCATTCATAATTTTTCTATATATTTTCCTTGGAAGCATCCAACTTACGGCCGTTGAGTTCCTTGGAATTTTTGGTCGCATAGCCCCAAACAAAGCCCAATAAAGTTCAAAGACCAAGCTCATTAACAGCAGCCGCAGCATCTAACCTACACACACAACCAAACACACACAATGCACGGGCCCGGCCAATTTGTTTATTTAATATGCATCCACAAAAGCCGCTAAATGGCCATTAATTAAATATCAGATCTGCCACGGCCAATAAATAAGAGACCACGACCACTCCCAACGAACCCCGCCAAACAATGTAAATACCAATCAGGTATGCTACGCACCTGAGAGATCGGGAAAGTTCAAGGCTGCCATCCAACCGGCGGGTGATGGTGATTATGCCAACTCCTCCACTGCGGGCAACTCCGGGCTAATGCTTCCGCCTTGGCTGATCGGTTGAATAACCCCAACTGGGACACCCCCAACACCCCGATACCCGTGGCAAATTAGGGTCAAACATGTGCAGCCATCGAGCTTGGCTTGAAAATTAGACTCAACTTTGGCTCAGCATTAAATTCAGGGTCAATCTCGGTACTTTCGAAATATCGCACAGAGCCACGACTTGGAGTCGGACATGGATTCTAAGCAAACTTGTCAATCATTGTTGTAATCGCTGTACTACTTGTACAGTGCATACACTGAGAGAAACTAATTTTGTTTTAGTAAGAGGTATTAAATGCAAACTCCAAAAGGAGACTTTAGTGAGGTTCAGCTTGAAGTAGGGATTTTTAAAATATATTTCCTAGACCTCCTACTCTTAAGAAATGGTGTACTTTTACTTCTGCACATATTACTTTATGTACTGTCTAATGTATCATAAATCCCTTAGGTTAATAATATTTAGGCATGATATCTTAATTTATTTTTGTACGTGACTATAAAGATATTAAAGAAATCACTAAGGTAACCTCGCATTATAAGATATCTCTCTTTTTTTTAAGTACATGGAACTCAAATATATACAAAATATGTATGTTCATATGTTTGTTACATCTGTGCGACTTTTGCCATGCGTAACACTGCCGGCAGGCAACCCAATCCGAATCCGACCTTTTTTGGGGGGCACTTTTATGGAGCATGAGAAACCGGAGGAGACAGACAGATATCATTGCTTTTAATTGCCCCGATCGCAAGCGCCTAGGCCTAGGTCAGTCGCAATTGCAGTCTCCACCATCTCGGGCTCCGAGTCCCGCCGTCTCTCTCAGCCTCAGCGCCATAATTAATTTAATAAAATGTAAAGCAGCAAGCTTGAAAAAAGTAACAAAACAAAAAAACTTGACTCATTCTCGTCGCTCAGAAGCGACGACTACTTTGAGCGCGTTTCGGATTCGATTCGGTTGACTCACAACTTTTGAGTTCAACTCGTTTTTGTGGCATTCAACGGCAAGCGAATAAAAGTTCGCTGCCTCGAAATTCTATGATCAGTTTACAGTCTCAACTTCACCCAGACCCAGGTGTTCCAGTTTCGGTTAAAGGTGCCTTCCTTCTTCCCTCAAAGAGGATTAGCCCCGCTGAAAAGTATCCATAACAAAGTGAGTGCCGTGTGCCGTGAAATCCGAATCCCCCTTCAATCGGATCGGTTGTGTGGGATCGTAACCTTGACTTTGGTTTGAATCAAAAATAACAAATTGGACTCGGAATATATGTAAATGCATTTAATGGCGCCATTATACACCCAGTGAATATATACACTTACAGTGGCTGTGATCTTGGAATTAATAAAGCGGAAAATGTGTGTGACCTTTATAAAGGATCGAAAAACAACATATGACATTAAAAATGCTATTAAATTACAGCAAACAAATTATTAAAAGATCTATTTTTAAATAAATGATTAAAAAAAACATTCCAACATTAAACCTTTTTTTAAATATCATTTCATTATTTTAACACTAAAATGACAATATAAGTATCATAAAGTATAAAATTCAAATTTTCCAAAGACTCAAAAGCCAGATATTTATAAGAGATAGGGGTTATGTTCAAGAACACATAGTCCTAGAACACCGTTTTGTGCAACTTCGAACCTTTTTTGACATTTAAATGTTTTTCCAAAAATCTACATCATTATTCCAAGCAAAAACTGCAAATAATATAAATATTTTGATTTAAATTATATAAAGTTCCTAGAACAACCACTGTGGCTGTATCTCGAGCCTGAGCTTGATTGCTTTGTTCAAAACCAAATTGGAGCACTCTACGCTTGACAATTAAAGCTTGCCATTCAGCCTCAGTCGCCGCCAGTCCAATTCTTATCAATAAAAAGCCAGTTCCAGTTGCAAAAAGTTCACGGATTAGCAACTGTAACTCATTGGCCGCAAATAGTCCGAGTCCGAGTGCGGGTCCAAGCCAAGATCTCCGCGCGCTGCCCACTCTCGACTCTCCATTGGCCATATGCGATAATTGATTTTCCCGTACATAATTTATGACGCACGAAACTGACAGTCGACTTGTAGATTAAAAACTGCCACTGTCCGACCGACTGGCGGACCAACAGGCGGCAATAAATCTGTCCGTATCAGTTTATTAGAACGTCGTACAATATAATAATGTCAGCTCCTGCTCAGCTCCTTTTTTACCACTTGCATCTCCCTCTCTCTGCCTCTCTGCAGCCAATCATCATGCTGACCGCCTGCCAAGTAGCTTTGATCGCTGGATGTTTGTCCGCTCTGGCCGTAAGCTCCGTTCGGGCGCAGTTCTTCTACCACCAGGCGTTGGGTCTTCCGTCTACTCACTCTGCTTCCTACGAACCGGCCAATCCGTATCAGGGATATGCCACCGCTGATGCTCATCCCTCGGTGGTGCGGAATGCCCAATGGGAGGCTGAGCTGCCTCCAGAACTGTCCAAAAGTGCGCGCTTCTACAATGATCCTGTGATTGCCGCCAACCTGGCCAAGGAGTCGCTGCTGACGAGGAAGGAAATGGCCGTAGTGCATCGCGAGGCTGAGAAAATACCGCGGGAACAGGTCTACAAGCTGTTCAAGAACGCCGGCTACCTGAATCGCAGATAGACAGCCATCGCGTAGTCGAGCTGAGTTCCATTTCCCACGTGCCTTGTTGTATTCTAGCTTCTAAAAATTGTTAATATATTGTAAATACGATTAAATGTTTTTCTTTACATGTATATAAGATTTTTATGGAATCATAGTAGTGACTGACTAAGTTCTACAGTTGCTTTTGGTATATAAATGCAGGAAAGTTTGGTCGCTCACTGAACATACAACTCAGCTCCGTTTCCTGGAAGAGTGGCAAAGACCACTTCATTGAAGTCATTCGGCTGATGGCGCTCCAGCAGATGAGATGGCAGCTGGGCATAGTAGTCCCGCTTTAGAGCCTTTATATACTCATCCGCAGCTTCAACGGAATCACACATGGCCACTATACAGCCGCCCCAACTGGAAAGGTGCATTAATATTAATATGAGTACAGAGTAAAACATTTTTGTATAAGCATACCCGGCTCCAGTAACACGAGCACTGACATGCAGCTCATTGGATATGGCAATTAGACGCTCAACATCTGGATGCGAGCATTCGTACAGCTCACGTAGACTCTCGTGGGATTGTCGCATAAGCTCTCCTAGCTTCTTGGCATCTTCGGGGCAGGGTCGCCCAGCCAACTGCTCACAAATCTTCCGGAATTTGGCAACTCGACCGGATTCTGTGGAGCGAAAAATAAAGTCAATAACTTGTACGAAATGTTATTGAGAGTTTAAATGAGTGAATGTTAATGACTCATTAGTTACCTCAAAATTTTCATTTGATAATAAGTTAAATAACTTGTTATTAACTTCTCAAATTTAACAAAATTTAAATGAAAAAGTAAACTTTTAAAACACCAACGTGGGCCAAACTCACCCTGAATGACGTGCAGGGCCCGCTGTCGTAGCTTAAACTGTTCCATGTGCCGCGTGTTGGCGGACAGAAACTTGGTCTCCAGTTCCTGCTCAGTGATGCCTAGCTCCTTGCAGATATCCGCTCGCGTATAGTTCCATTTGGTTAGGTTGTCCTTGATCAACTTCTCAAAGGTTTCGTTGTCCATTTGGCAAGCCTCTTCCAGATCAATGAAGCGCACAATGTCCTGCCAGTTGGCCAGACCCTTGAGCTTGGCCAGCCAACGCGTGGCCAGTCGGCACTCCACTACTCGTTCATTGTAATCCGACGAGGCAGCCTTGTTCTTCTGTGCCAGACTGTTAGCCACCACAAAGCATTTGCCCGCTGGCAAAGTCACCGGAGTGCCCTTGAGCTTGGGATGGAATTCGATGTGATGGGCACAGCCGATGCGACCCAAGTAGGCGATGGCCTGGTCCATACCACCGCTATGCGTGCCGATATATTGCTCACACTTGGCCGAAATGGAGGCCAGCTCCCGGCGATCTAGTTTTTTGCCCTGAACATGAGCCGTGGCCAGAACAGCGGAGCTGACCATAGCGCTGGAGCTGGAGAGACCGGCAGCCAATGGCACGTTGCCGTCCACAGCAATACGCATTCCAATGGGACTCCATTGACTGCCCAGATTCTCCTGGATGCCCTTGATGCCGCACAGGAAGTAATTGTACCATGCGGGACCACCACTTTTTGGTAGCTCAATTCTGGCATTGGATAATTTTTATTATATTATCAGTTAGGTTCGATATGAGATGAATTACACTCACTTGAGAGTCTTTAAGTCCGCATCGTAGCCCTGGAACTTGGCCTCCTCCAGATTCCGTAGCTGCAGCTGGCTGTCAGCAGGATTTTTGGCCACTGCCAGGAAAATGCTCTGGCTCACAGCCATGGGCAGCACCGAATAACCGCAGTAGTCCACATGCTCGCCAATGATATTGACTCTACAACAATTACAAGCAAAGTTCAGCGAAAATTTATAGAATATTTAAGGTACAAACCTTCCGGGAACACGAACGTAGAAGTCGGGATCTGCTCCGAACTGCCGCTTGAAGAAGGCGCCTAGGTTCTGGACACGTTCGTATATCTTGGAGTTCGGCTGAAGCTTCTCCGGTGCCACGAATTCAACGCTGCCGGCATCCGCAGCCTGAGTAGATCCATTCCCGTTGGCAGTCATGTTCACCTGTCGGCGGTTGAAATTTTAATAACACTTCATCATCATTCCAGCAACTGTAGATGGTGCGACGAACCGTAAACGTGTCGCAAAACAACTCGTTAATCTTTATTTACTGCCCAAAACAGATTAACATACGTAAACAAACCGCACACACACACACACGACACGTTGCGCCAGTGCACCTGTACGTCAGCGCGGGTGTGCAAAAATTAGCTTATCAAGCCAGCTCTCACCTTATCAGAATGTCGAACTAGCTATTAGCACACAAAGTGGTGGACTAACATGTTATCAGTTGGGGAAGCGGTTAGTAAAGCAATGAAATCCCAGATTGACGACTTATTGGCGTCTTAATAGGAAAAAAACCAAGTGCAAAAGTGCAATCTGCCGGCAAACGAAGGCGAAGGGCGTGCGAGAGCGAGAGGTCTAGCGAGAACAGCTGTTTATTTAGAGTGGCCAGAAGTGCAAAAACTTTTTTCAGGACATAACCGGAGTTTTAGGACCGTTACAAATTTGTTTTCCTGATATCGTTTAATTAACAAGACTTAACCAACCATTTCTAACTAACCCTAAAAATCATAACAAAGGAAAACTACTTTGCCGTTATTAGCTTTTAAATCACATATATTTCCACTTTTGGTTTTATATACGTCATCTAAAAGTCACAAAAGAATTACCTTTTGTTTGTATTACCTATCAAACGCTAAACGTCCCTGACAAAAATTGCAATTGATTAAGAATTTTTTGTTTTTCCGATACATACCCAGCTAATTTCTTATCTTTCTCCTTATGAGGTCAAAATAACTTGGAGCAATTCTCAGGCCTTATCAGAGAAGTTCTAGTTTTCGGTGTGAGCACGTCGCGTTCCATCAAGCAACTGAGCAATCCGGCCCGTGCCGTATCCGTTTTGTTAAGTCCGGAATACATACGGTTGTACATCTTTATCGCATCCAGACCGAAAATAGAGCGTCATTTAAGTCTCTTTTCTGAAATTTAAAGAATTATTTTTCATATTTAGACAATTTAATTTTTAAATTGCAATCCTATTATAAAAAGTTTAAATAAATAGTACCTTGATTTAATTCCAGTGATAACCATCTTAGCGATGCCCAACTGTAAAAGGCGTATCAGTAGGAGGCGTATCAGTTTGAGAGTTTTGTTTGTTTAAATGTTGCTGAATTGAATTTCCATCAGCCTAAAATGTGGTTTTTGGCTCCCACTTAATGAAAAGCCATTACCTTGGTCATCATTTTGTCATTAAACTGAAGTATTTGATTAAATGATAAGCTTCAAAGTGTTTGTGCAATAAATTTCCTAAGTTAAATATGCGAATCTAAACTAAATGTATTCTTTATAAGGAAGAAATATTTAAAAAGTAAAATGTTGGGTTACAAACTAATAATATTCCTAAAAATAACGGTTTAAATTTTTCAAATCAGCAAAATTATAATTTACATTTTGAATTTTTAAATAAATTCCGTTCGTTAGCGAGGGCTGCCAGATGATAAGATAGTTTCCGTTCTATCTGACAACGGTGCCACTCTTCAGTTTTGCACACAAATGGCCACATATTCGTATTCTTTCGATTTCTTCAAAACTGAATCGATGTTGAAATCGATTTTTTGCCAGCTCTAGTATCATCGCTGAAGAAATATTTGTTTTTGAAAACGAATTTTCCCGAGCCACAAAAGTGCAAATTAGCATTTGCACCTGCACCCAAGTAGCACCAAGCGTTGGCCCCACCGCGGAGACAATCGAAGCAATGTCCAGCTTGCAGCGCACGATGCTGAAGGGCAAGTTGCCACCCACAATTCCTGGCGGGCGCATCGGAAGAGCGTAAGTGTTGCTGTTGCTGTTGCGAAGCTGTGAAGGAGGGATGGGGCGTACGTGGTTACTACCTTAATTTGGCTAATTGCAGGGACTCCTTCAAGAAGTCGCGCATTCGCGACTACAAGCCGGGCATGTGGAACGAGTTCTTTGCGGAGAAGGAGGACGTCACGGTGGATGAGCAACGCACCTTTCGCGTCTACCGCACCAAGCAGCCAGAAAAGCCGGGACCAGTACTGCTTCTGCTCCACGGCGGGGGCTACTCGGCGCTCACCTGGGCTCATTTTTGTGTAAGTATCTAGTAAATATGCTACGCTTTGAGGTTCTTTATTAATTAGTTATTTGCCCAATTACACCCACCTGTAGTCGGAGGTGACGAGCATGATCCACTGCCAATGCCTGTGTATCGATTTGAGGGGCCACGGGGACAGCAGGGTGGATGACGAGGACGATCTGTCGGCAGATACGCTGGCCAAGTGAGTTTATACTTTATATATTTGAAAAATGACGTAATCCTATGCGTTCAATATATTCTACATTAAGTTTGTTAAGTTATTTAAAGTAATTCCTTTTAAAGCATTTTATGTATGTTTTAAATTATATTCCGTAATTCTTAATGTTTGGAAACGAAATACTAATTTTCTTCGGACACAAAATGTAGCTTTGTATAAATAACTAATTGTTTAATTTAATCTTTTAAATTCATTTAAAAAACAGAGACATTGGCGATTTGCTTCTGAAGCTTTATCCCCAGGATATGCCACAGGTTTATGTGGTTGGCCATTCAATGGGTGGCGCCATTGCCGTGCACTTTGCCCACATGGCGCTGGTACCCAATTTAATTGGAATAACCGTCATCGATGTGGTGGAGGGCACTGCCATGGAGGCTTTGGCTAGCATGCAAAGCTTTTTGCGCTCCCGTCCAAAGTATTTCCAGAGTATACCAAACGCCATCGAGTGGTGCATCCGGAGCGGCCAAGTACGGAATGTGGACAGCGCCAAGGTGTCCATGCCGGGTCAGATAATCAAGTGAGTGAACCTACTTTCCTCTATTGGTTAAATTAAAAAATGTAGTAAACACACTTCTCCCCTTAAGCTGTACAACGAACAAACTGGCAACGAATGATCTGCCATTGCCCGATGATGTCCTAGAGGAGGCTCACCACACCAGTATGTTTCCCAATCCGTTTAGCATTTCGGAAGACGAGGAAGTGTCGCCGCCGGGCGATGAGACCGTCGAGGGTGAAAGTGCAGCAGCGGGAACTGATTTCAAGAAACCAGTCACGACCAAAGCTATGACCGATGCGGCCAAGAAGTAAGCTTGAGGATATGCCTTTTTGAAATCTTAAAGCAACTTTAATTCTGATAACTTATCCCACTTCTTTCCCAGTTACACCTGGCGCATCGATCTGTCCAAGTCAGAGAAGTACTGGGTCGGTTGGTTCTCGGGCCTGAGCGACAAGTTTCTGAACTTGCGTCTGCCCAAGCAGCTGCTCCTTGCCAGCATCGATGGCCTGGACCGTACGTTAACCGTTGGCCAAATGCAGGGCCGCTTCCAGATGCAGGTCTTGGCCCGTTGCGGCCACGCTGTCCACGAGGACCGTCCACACGAGGTCGCTGAGGTGATTAGCGGCTACTTGATACGAAATCGTTTTGCGGAGGCCGCCGGCGAGTTCCGCTGCCACATGCCGTCGTGCTAAGCGAGCCGTAGCTGCAGCTGCCCCTGAATCCAAGGTTGATGAGCACAAGCTGAGGTCACAACAAAATGTCTATTTTTGAATGGAGCATTACACTTTGAACTAACACAGATGCGTGCATATATATATATAAATATATATATACAAAATGTAGTGAGTAGGTACAGATATATATATATCGCAGTATGTATTTTCTATATACGCGTATAATCCAGTAATTTATTCGGTACTTTTAATTAAATCTATGAATTTCTAATGTTGTACTTTATACTCATTTTTGCCAAAATCAAAACCAGCGAAACCAACGAAAGCTTGAACAAAGGCATTATAATAACAAGATGCATAACATTCACTTATCGTGCTATTATAAGGTCTTTGGCAGGAGGCTTCTTATATTGTTATAATGAGTGTGTATTAAATATGTGCCAGAGATCAAAATGAAATTTAACAAAATCCAAATTATACCCATACGAATGCAAATAAGTTGAATAAAGCTATTTATTAAACGAATGTTAACTGAAATTCACGCTAAACTGGAATTAATCTTGGCATTTATTGAATTCGGACTGCTTGTTTCGAAAAGAAAAACACATGAAACTTTGATAACAGAATAACGCACACACATTTTTAGTCCACAAAACGGAAGCCCCCATCGGACTTCATCTTCATCTTGGACTCCAAAGCCTGGATGCGACGCAGTCGCTCGGCGATCTGTTCGCGTATCTCCGGACGATACTTCTTGCCCTGGCCCAAGGACTCCATTTCGGTCAGCCATTCGGCTCGCTCGTTGATCTGGTCAAGAACTGACAAGGAATTGGATATAATTAATATATAATATAAAGCTTGAAGTCTTTACACTTACGCTCATTGATGAGATCCTCCTCTGTTACGTTCTGCTCCTCGCGTGGACGGCGACGCGGCTTGATAGCCGGATCGGGCAGATGAGTACCCGCCATGGTGAACTGCAGCTGGGACTTGGCCTTTTCACCTTGCATGCGATTGTCAGTGGGCGGACGATAATAGCTCTGCTTGTAAGCTCCGCTCGCCTCGATCTGGCGAAGATTCTTGCGCTTGGCATTGCGTGCTCGCTGTAAGATGGCCAGAGTCTCCTTGTCCGGATCGTTGTTTGTATTCGGACGCGGCGGTACGGGCAATGGTAGCGGTTCGCCAGTACGAAGGCTCTCGTCGATCTGCTTGCGCACCATCATTGACATTTTGGACTCCTTGACGAGTACTAAGAGAATGCCGATTCACAAGAAAGCATATTTAAATAAGTGAATGGTGTTAAGAATTAATGTCCTACAAGAACCCACTTACATCGAATCAGATCGGCGGTCTCCTTGCTGTACTGCACCTTGGCCGAGTGAAAGGCACCAGCACCGCCTGGAACAATCCTTTCGCTTGGCCACATCGGTATCTTCTGCCCGCCGGGCTGGCGGTCGCCATCTCCCTGCGGCTCCTGCTGGGCCATCAAACCCCCGGGCAGGGCCTTGATCTGAACGTTGTTAAAGCGATGTCGGCTCATTTTCTGCTAAAATCTACGTAATTTGGTTCAGAATTATGCGGAAATAGCTTAATTAATTTCGTCGTGTGGCGTGTTTCGAGAATACCATCGGTTTGGGAGTTGTTTTACGGCGGACAACAAAACCGGAGACGCATGGCAACCTGCGTTGTTAGGCAAAGGCAAACAGCATGGGTATTTTTTGTGGTTTTAATTTTCGTAATAATTTATTGAAAATAAATATATATGTGTGGGTGTGTGGGGGTAGGTACACACATCCTGATACGACTGTCCTTTGCACACATTCTTCGTCTACGAGTAGTTGCACTTTACATTAAACCACTTAGTTTTATTTCGTTATCCCAACTTGCGCCGTACACAATCTAGGTTGTTGTTTATTAATAAATAAAAGCATATCAGCAATTTACAATGTTTGCGGTTGTGGTAGCTATTTTTGAAATATCGACAAGAAATTAGAAAACGAAAAACATTTCTAAGCAGGATTTACACATGCAGTTTGTTCGGTTTTTTTGTTTTTATACAATTAAAATTAGGCTACGCGTTTTTACGCTCTCTTATTGGTATTGATTTTTTGGCCTTTGCCTCGCCATCGTCGTTAATTAAGCTTATTATGCTGCGACATACATTCGTTCGTACATCTAAATATATATAATTTATAATTTGTTTGAAAACAACTAAAACATAACATCATATCGAGTGGTTTATAAACAATTGACTAAAGCAAACGTAATGGTAAATTGTAGGGATAGATGATCAAAGATCATGATGCATATGCATATACACTACTCGGGGTTCGGGTCTTACACTTACTTATACAAAATACAATACAATTCCTCCTTCGATTTCAACACAACAATATAGACAGTGAAACATTGAAGTATAGTGTTGTTCCTCCTCCTACTCCTCCTATGTGGGGTTCAGCAAACATGTTCCCTTTTTAATTTAAAATAAATTATGTGTGTACGTGTGTATACTATATAAACATATCCATTGTGTGACTTTTACTACATCATTCAGCAAGCAATGTTTTTGATTCGCGCCTCATTCTCATTTCTTATTCCTTCCATCTCAAGCTTCCCTTCTAGTTTTCTTTAGTTGCGAAAAGTAATCTTAGTCAGTCTCATGGTCACGATGCAGAGTTCATTTTATAATTTTCACTAGATAAACCTTTTTCGTCGTCGTTCCGCGGGGGTATTCCTTCATTCCTTCGTTTTGGTGGATGGATGATGGATGTTTGAATTAGAATAGCGTAAAATGTTGATCGAATTTGGCCAAATTTTCCTAAGTAGAGAGAAGTTATGGTATATTGTGTTTTGTGTGTTTGTGTATGTTGGCTTGGCGTGTTAGTTGAACTACAGAAATGGCGACGAACATTTACGAAACCTAGACATTAATAACATTGACATTGCCACGCCCCCACTGCCCACCAGTTGACCTGGGGATGGTGCAGAGGCAGACTGGGCTCCAAGGGTTTCCAACGGCCAGCCGTTGGACCTACGAGCCCGGCCAGCTGGTGAGCAGCTTCTGAGAGCGTCTCTTGGCACACATAATTAATTAACTTAACATTTAAACAAACTATATATCGGCTTACGATTTAAAAACGATTACAAAACGGCATGATAGGGGGCAGAACTAGACGCGACACAAACATAGATGCGATTCTTACAAAACTATAATTATATATATATGTATAAAAACATTCATGTTCGTTTCTTGCTAAATCAAACTTTAAACACGGTTCAAAGCTAGGTGTGAACACAAAAGAGTGTGTGCTGGCGGCTTGCTCAGTTCATTGCCTGTTCAGTCATTTGGCGGCACAGCGTCTCGAGTTGTTCCAGACTCTTGAAATCGTTTAGCTTGTACTCGGTGACGTGTGGCGACATTCCGCCCAGGCCTACCAGCGCTGGCTGGGACAGGCAATGATCCACGGCATTGTTATTCTTGCTGCTGTGCTGACAGAGATTGTGGCCACAGGCACTACCATTTACACCGCCACCATTAGAGCAAAGACAGCTGCCATTACTGACAGCGGCAGCGGCTGCGGCCAGCAGTTGCAGCTGCTGCTGATTAATCAAATTGTTGTTCAGCATGCTGTTGTTATTGTTGTTGTTGTTGATCAGGATCTGCGGCTGCTGATCGTGCTGTTGCTGCTGCTCCTGACTTTGACTCTGATTACTAACCATAACAACTGCGGCCATCGTCTTCTTTGGTTGCTGCTCCCCACTTGACAGGGTACCTGCATTCCCGCTGAGCTTTCGCTGCTGCTGCTGCTGATTACGCTCCATCACCAAGTTGTCGTTGGATCCACTGTTCGTCAGCACTCCCTGGCCTGGCTTGAAGATCAGTTGCTGAGGCTGCTGCGGTCCGCCGGCCACCAGAATCAGATTGTTTAGCGATCGGCGGTGCGACTGTGGCGGCGTCTGCTGTGGCAGCGCCGGAAAGTGATTGTGCTGCTGCAGCATCTGTTGCATCTGCTGGGCATGATGGTGCGGCTTGATGGGCTGCTGCTGCTGCTGGGGATTACCCATAAAACTGGGGTAGGAGGAGCTCTTGTACTGCGGCTGATGAGACGGACCGCCACCGTAGCCGTTGTAATCGAACTGCGGCAACGGCGGCGGTGGTAGCGGCTGCTGCTGCGGATGGTGAGGCAGCGGATGTTGGAGACAGTTCAACGAGAAGTTCAGCATGTCGTTGGAGTTCTTGCGATTGTTGATCCTGTCGTTGCTGCCGTTCTTCGTATCGCACTTGCGAGTTTTACCATTCCATCTGTGAGAAAGAGGAGTTAGTTTTTTACAACTATAGTAGTTGCCCCCAAAACTTACCTGGGTTTGTTTATGCTACCATTGCTGGGACCACTTGCGACTCCTGGCTTCACATGATGCATCTTCGGCACCATGGAGATCTTCAACTTGGACAACTTGAACTTGAGCTCCTTAAGCTGATTGGCATGGTTCATGAACGCCTCGTTATGTATGGAGCGATCCAGTATCCACATGAACACACCCAGGGTCTCGTCGTCCTGCGCAGCATAAGGATCCTGCTGCAGAGTATTGCTAACAATATCGATGACCTTGAGGAAGCGCAGTCCAATATTCTCCTCCGGCGGCCCAAGGGCCTCCACCGGCTTCATGGGCGTCAGCACAATGTTCGTTAGCTCCTCGACCGCCGTGCTCAGCTTCATTTGGCCCGTGACTAGCTCCTGTTCGACACGACCGAGAATGTTTGCTCGCTCCTTCAGCTTCTCGATGCACAGGGCCAGCTTGTGGGAGGCACCCTTTGTCACGCCAACGCTCTGCAGGAAGTCCTCGGTGATTAGTAGCATCTCCTCGTACGTCATGTTCTTAAACAGCTCGATGTATTTGTGCAGGCGCAGAGACTTCAGCCAGAGGCCAATGCCTGACATGCCCACGTTGCGGGTGTGGAACTTGATGTAGTTGGGTTTGAACTCGTCCAGCCGCGTATCAGAGCCACTGTTGGCCAGGGCTCCGCGCTGGTGCTCAATGGAGAGGGAGAAGCTACGCGGCTTGTTGGCAAACTGGGCAAGGTTCTCAGTGGAATTGGAGCAATTGTCGTTGACGGTGATCACCGATGAGTTGGAAGAGCTGGAGCAACTGGAGATCGTTTGTGTAGTCAGGCTGTTTGACCGTCGAGTCTTCAGTGCCGCAATTTTGCTGTCCAGGCTCCAGCGATTGATGTCGCCAAACTGGTCGCCCACGTTGCCCATCAGGATCGAAGCGTATGGCGGAGCCTGCAAAAACTGCTGCTGCTGCTGGAGATGCGGTGGCGGCTGCAAGCGATCGTTTAAAGCGTCCACTGCCGACGAATTGCGGCATAAATTACTGGTGCTGGCTAGGCTGCTGCTGCTGCAAGCCTCTCCTATGTCCGCCGTGGACGGGTCAAAGTCAAGTATTTCCGTGCCATTTTTGCTAAATGACGTGTCATGATCGTCGCCGCCACCGATTCCCAGCATCGAGCCCGCTGCCGCTCCTGCAACAACGCCGTTGACCAGCGAAGAGCTGCCCTCCAGCGACAGACCGAGACTATTCTGACTAGATGCTAATTCGTTCAGGGTAATACCATTTAAATTATCACAGAGTGGATTGATCGATCCGCTGGAGCTACCGCCGGCTCCGGCTCCTCCGCCGCCGCTGCCTCGCCAGTCTCCATTGCCGGCCAGCTTGTGTTGCAGCTGTTTGCTGGGCGGAGCAATCGTTTGCCAGTCGTTGGTACGCGAAGATCGACTGCCACTGGCCACCGACGAACAGGAAGCTGTTGAGGAACTGGCCGCTGACGAGGAGCAGCTGCCACTGCCTGTGGAGCTGCCACCGGCTACCAGTTGCGGGGAGGGCTGCAGGAAGTAGCTGCGATTAGTCAGGCCCGCCGCCGCCGCCTGGATGTGATCCTCCAGGTGACGCAGCCAGATATTCAGCGACCGTCGGTCGTCGCTGGTGATAGCCGGATGGATGAGAAGGTAGGAGAAGATCTGCTGCACCAGCTCCGTGGGCACAATCTGCTGCATTGTGTCCTTGACGGCCACCGGAATTAGGGTCAGGTAGATAAGCTTGGCCTCCTCGTTGCCGGGCTTTAGCAGCGGCAGCATGTTTAGCACCTCGTGCAGTATGTCCTCCTTGCGCGCATACAGCTTCCGCTCGTCGCACTGCGCCGATGTGGTGATCTGAAAGTCGCTCCCGTAGCACGGCATCGAATCCTTATCCGACGACGAGGAGGACATGGCATCGAGCAGATCACATGGCTGGAACGTCTTGTAGGCATTCAGCAGATTTTGCAAATACGCCGGATTGTTGGCATTGATGTCTATGACCACACTGCTGAGGTTCGTCTGAGAGGTGCCCAGATTCTGGGTAAGATTGCTGTCAATCGAATACTGAAGGAATTTAAGGCTCGGGTAGCGCAGACGCTTCAGCAGGGCGTACATCACAACGGTTCGCTCGCAGTCATTCCACTTCTCAAAGAGATTTGTCACTGTGGTCACCTGCTCGCAGAACAGAGCATTGGACGCCTGGTTCTGGCTGGGATTGGGATTTGAGTTGGAATTGCCATTGGCCTGGGGGGCCGTCGTCGTGGCTGCAGCAGCTGGTGCTGCCTCCTTGGGTGTGGATGTGCTGGGGAGCTGGTGCATCTCGTGCGCTGATGCACTGTTGTCAGTGGTTCCAGTTTGGTACTTCATCTCGTTGTTAGTTATTGTTTGCTGCTTGTTTTGGTCTTGTTTCCTCTTGGTTTCCTATTATAATTTATGGTATTATAATTGTAACGGCTTCTTGGTGCTTATTTTTGGTTGAGTTTCCTTTTCCTGAAATAAATAAACAAAAGATTTGGATTTTATAACTGGTTTTTCCATCGATAACCACGTGATCAGCTTTCAATCACTTGTCATATTTCCGAGAAGACAACATTTGGAGTGGCGTGCGTGACAATAAAATCAACTGGAAGCTCGAAATTTAATCAAATCAGTTTTCGCTAATTATTTAAATTTACAAGCCAAGCGGTAGCAGCAACAACTACGATAATAATAGCAAATAAGCAATAATCTGTAATTGACGAATGGAAATTAGCATTTGCATGGACTGTGTCGGCTGTCGGCTGGCTTATCAGGAAAGCAAATAAATAACAAAATATATAACACCTTCGTTTGGGCGATGGCGCAAGTGACGAGCAACAGCGACGACGGGGATATATAAATCAATAAAATAACAAACATTTTAACTCGATTTCGGGATTTCGTTTGCAAGGGAAGGAGGGGGGGACTGGGCATTAGTGGGGGTTCGACAACGACCCAGAAGTTTGGTTAGGTTTCATGCACTTCGCAGTTCGCACTTTTCATTTAGTTTCGTTGTTGCCATTGCTGCTTATTGCTTGTCTCTTGTGTGTGTGTGTGCCCATTTTCGAATCTTGTTTCTTTCGCCTGCTATTTCTTCTCCCCTTCTTGCTGCTGCTAATGTTGTTGTTGTTTCTGGTGTTGCTCTGGCGACTTTCTTCGATTTTTTTCTACTGTTATAATTTAAACCTCTGAGCAATGCAGCTGCGTGTGTATGTGTGCGTGTGCAGCGGGCAAGCACTAAAACATAACGGGCCCAATTACTGCATTAAAAGCACAGCACACCAGCTACTGCCGCCGTGGAATTTACCAATGTTTACTTTTTACTATTTAACGCTTTTCGATGAAAAGTTTCACATTTTTTTGCCAGCGGCTAGAGAAGCAGAGTGGAGTGGAGTGGTGGTAGCCATAATTTTTCTGTCGCACCTCGATCTAACGGTACCTCTGTCGCGATCTTTGAGGTTATGCGTCACTGCTGCAGTTGCTGTTATTTTCTAACCGGCTTTTGCTAAAAAGTTCTCAAAGTTCAATAAACGCACTCATACAAAGAAACACACACACGAACAGTTTTTGCAAAAAATCCTGGACGAACTTGAAACTCACTAAATTATTGCGCTTTGCGAATATTTGCCTTTTCAGCAGCAAGCGCGATCACAGCCGTTTGGCATACTCTTTATTTACTTTCTCGCATGCACAATATAAATTTGATTATCTGTAGTTGGGCAATCGCGCACAACATACAGATAGAGAGGCAAACACAAAACAATGCTTGTTTTTATTAAATAAGCAAAGATGAGGACTGCACTGAACCGAGCACTGAGATGAGATGAGATGCGATGCTGCTGCAGTGGGGAGCACCGCGGAGGAGGAGCGGCTGATGGCGAATGATTGCCGATTGGCGTTGGCGCTGCCGTTGGCGTCAGCGAAAATGTGTGTGGCGTTTTAGAAAGAAAATGGTGGAGCAAGCGAAACGGACGAAAAAGGAAGCAGCGGGAGCGCGCCTTTTTTTCTGACAGCCCGAAAGGAACGGGAACGGAATGATGCTGCTGCTGTCACGGAAGATGGGGAGGGAGAAGGGGTGGGGAGGAGACCTTGCCAGTGCTGCTGACGCGCGCGTCAGTGTGTGAGTGAGGGAGAGTGACACACTGAGCTAGCAGAATGCATGAGGCAATGCACGGGCGAAATTGCGGCAAATTACATGAGAGAGAGCATTACAGGGCAGGCTGCACTCTCTCACTCTTTTGCTTTCCGCTTTGCTAACATGCATTGCACACAATTGTTTTCATTTCCACACTCACTTTCCGTGCCTGCCGTCAGTCTTTTTCTTGCAAGGCGAACGGGGCGTGCAAGGGATGGGGCTTTTGGGGTTTGTTGTTTCCACAGCACACATACACACACACCCAGATTGGCCCCCAAAATCACGCCCCACCCACCTAGCCACGCCACGGTCGGCCAGACAACAAAAATATATGGCGTTTGGCAGTGTGCGCTTGTGCCAAAATCGTTCGTTCTATTTTTCAATTACCTTTTTGCCTTCTATTCGCCTGCTGCAAACCTTGAAATTATTTTCTGTTGCAATTCACAGTTTTTGATAGCTCCGCAGCACGAAAATTGAGCATATTTCGCTAATTTGATATGCTATCGGACCTCGCATTTATTAATTTATAATTTTCACCTTTGCTATTCCTGCGCGCGCGTATGTGTGTGGCGGTATGTGTGTGTGTATTTTTTATTAGCACTTTTGGGCTTTGTTGTTTTTGCTAAATCATAACTACACATCGCCTTTTTTAGCCACACACTTCCTGCGGATTCGCGCAACGTGTCTTCACAAATGCCCGGAAACGGAGAACTGCGCTCGGCTGCTGTTGCACTTAGTTATATGCATATTTTCGCCAGCTTTTTCATATTTTCAGCAAATAATTAATTATTAATTTTCACGCGTTGGGACAGTGTGACCCGCGGCTTGTTTTGTTAAAAACCTCGTTAGAGATGGGAAACCAAAATGATTTATCGAAATATTTTTAATCGTGCCACCATTGCCAGATCTCAAGAAAAAGGTGGACGAATGGAATATGAAATTGGAACATGGATTTATTTATTATTTTGAATTTTTTGGTTTTATTTACTACAGATAAAATTTCTAATATGGCTTCGCTGTGATAGTTTCATAAAACAGACTTGGCTTCGCCAAGTAAATATGTACATTTCCACGGTATGTTCCAAACACTCAACATGCGGTCGCGTACATACGCAAAATTTAAGTATTCTTTGGCTTAATCTAGGCAATTTCAAAAATCTGGGACGGAATATATAAAAGTAATATATATATTTTTTTAAAGTGGATTCATTACAGCTTTCTTTGCTTTTTTTCAATTGAATTAAATGTGAACGTAAGATTTTTCCATGGTGCTTTATATTATTATTTTTTTGTCTCACTTCTTTTTTATGTTTAACCTCATATCTTGGATTTTTTTCCTTCTTTTTAGATTGCAATAAAGAGATTTGGTAGAAAAATAATAATAATAATAATAATAATAATAATAATAATAATAATAATAATAATAATAATAATAATAATAATAATAATAATAATAATAATAATAATAATAACAATGTGTTTTCTTTGGTAAATAATTAAACATAAAAATGCCTCTAAAAAAAGCTAAAAGTCAATTTTCAGAACAATTTCATAAAACAAAGACTGAGATATGCTATTTTTCAACTATTTCTACATATTTCAAACAGGGGAAATCAAGGAACCCGCGGACTATCTGATGTTCCATTGTAATCCGTTACTTAGTGTGACCAATTGGACTGTGGTATTTACAACGAAAAGTGCGGCGGGCACTCTGAAGCCTGGACGCAAATCCCAATTGGAATAAAAAGTAATGTAAATTCAGTTTTAAAATGCAAATTTCCAGCAATGCATTGAATCGACGTCGATCTGGGACAGAGCACGACATAAGGCAGTGATTACATTGCGAAAGAGTTAAGCGACACGAGCCCAACGAACCCAGAAACGCCCACGACAACTAAAGGATAGTAGGAAAACATCACAATTGCCGTCAACCTGCTGCTGCTGCTGCGAGAAAATGTTCGCCCAGACGCAAAAGAGCAACTTTCTGGAGCAGACAAAGGCAGCACGCGAGGAGCGGGCGTTGGAGAAACGCCGGGAGCTGGCCGCCATCCTGCTGCAGTCCACGCTCAAGGGATACGCGGCGCGCAGGAAATACCAAAAGCGGATCATGTAAGAGGGGATTTCCATAGCTTACTTTGACATTAAGTAATCCTCATCCCGCGTTTTAGACTCGATTTCGATGCCGTATTTACCGACAGCCAGGATGACAAGGACACGGAACTGGAGCTGTTGGCCATCAATGTGTATCCCCTACTCCGGCGCTACCTTACACAAATCAAGCTGGACAAGACGGATCCGAGGGCCAGGGAGCGTTTGGAGCGCATTTGTCGGTACATCATCAAAGCCATGGAGGTGGAGAGCCCAAAACTCTCGTATGCCGCCCTGTGCCTGCACAAGGAGCGCAGCCTGCCGTGGATAGCGCACATCAAGCTTCTGCTAACCAACTGCCTGCTCCTGCTGCCTGAGTTGAAGCCGGAGAACCATGCAGACAGCCTTTCGCTGGCCCTCTTCCTGCATACTCTGGTGGTGTTTACAGCACCCAAGTCCTGGGCGATACTGCGCAACTCGCAGTTCGAGCGACTGCAGCCGGCCATGCAGAAAGTGTGCTGTAACATCCAGGGGCATCTGGTGCAGCACGACTTCTATAGGACGATGCGGGTGGGTTTGCTGGTAGTTTAAGTAAAATATTCTTAACACTTAACTATTTCCTGTTCCAGCTGGTCTTGCTCCGAGGCACTGTTCGCGAGGAGTTGTCCGTGAAGCCGGTCACTTTTGTGGCCATCATCACGTTGTGTCTGCGTCCGCTAATCGACGGTGACTTCAGTCGCAATCTGCTGACCAAATTCCTGTCGGAGATCCTATCAGTGCCTGCGTTGATCTACCATTTGCATCAGAGTGTGCCACAGTGTCTGGAGCAGTTTGCAACGCTGGGCCTGCTGAAGAAGGCGTTGAGCATCTCTGAGGATTACCAGTGGTTCGAGGAGTTCGGTGCCAGCATGCCGGGCACCAAGTCTTTGGCGTTCCTGGGTAACATTGTCAACCTGTTCAATATTGAGGGCCAGGCGGAGTCCAAATCGCTGGCTTATCCCTACTGACTGTGAGTGGCACCATAATCAATAGTTTCCTTCTCTCAGTCTTCCCTTTTGTCCCTCAGGAAACCACCACATCGTTGCTGGAGTTAATACCCAACACGGTGACCACCAAGGGCGTCTTCACCCAATGGCATGAGCTTCTGGGCTGGCACACTCCAGGCCCAGAACCGGCACAGAATCAAAATGTGGCCCTGATCAAGAAACAGTTCCACATGCTGTGGGATCATCGTTGCATCAAGATGCTACTGGGCGATCTCCTAAAGGATATCAATCGGAATTATGAGCGGATTGAATTCCAATCACCCCAGCAGCCTTCCACCTCGAACCTGCTGCGTCGTGCCTTAGAGCGTAGCTCGACGCGAGGCGGTGGAGCGAGCAGCAAGCAGGCGAAGCAGCAGTGGCGCCGCCTGGATAACGCGGAGGTGCTGCAGGTGTCGCGCATCTGCGGCATGTATTATGCCGCTCTTAACACGCTTTCCCAGATGAAGCTGGACATCCTTACGGGCATCTGCTACAACGACAACGTGCTCTACGATATTTGGTTGCTAATTACATCGTTGGGCCCTAACTGCGGGATGAAGGAGTATCTGGAGCTGCTCAAGTGCGAGACGAGCCTGCAGAAACCCCAAACGGCCATGTTGATGCTCTTTTGCGACTGCATGACGCACTATGTCACGTAAGCTGGAATAGAATCCTTGCTGAACATTATTATAGATGTTTTCCTGCAGAATTCTGGATGAATATGAGATGTACACGGAGCAGAATCCCTTCAAGCTAAACGACTATGTAATGCTGACTTATTTCCTCAACAATATGCTCTATAAACTAATTAATGATAATATTTTGGGTGAGTTTGCCTAGATATTTAATGGCTATCTTTAATTATATACCTTTCACCATTAGGCGCCAAGAACATTGTACAGAATCCGGTATTTCTGGCGCTGCACACGTTGATGCTATGCCTGTATCGCCGCGACTGTCGTCGTCCATTTACCCCGCCGAATCACTGGCTTATACCGGAGGTGAAGCCTTCGACGTTCATCAATGACCTGGAGAAGGCCAAGAGGAATGCCATGCTGCTGCTGGCCAAGATGCCGCACATTATCCCGCACGAAGATCGAGTCAAGCTTTTCCGTAAGTTTGTGCAAAACGAGAAAGCGGTGATGGGTCTCACGGAGAGTGCCTGCGCCTCGCCACGCTCCGCCTTGATTGTCATCCATCGCGAGCGGATTGTGGAGGATGGGTACAGGCAACTGGCTGCCCAGCCAACGCAGGCCCTTAAGGGCGTCATCCGTGTGAGATTTATCAATCAGCAGGGATTGCATGAGGCGGGAATTGATCAGGATGGCGTGTTCAAGGAGTTCCTCGAGGAGACCATCAAGAAGGTGTTCGATCCATCGCTGAATTTGTTCAAGACCACCTCCGACCAGCGGCTATACCCGTCGCCCATTTCCTACGTCCAGGACAATCACCTGCAGCTGTTTGAGTTCGTTGGCCGCATGCTCGGTAAGGCCGTCTACGAGGGCATCGTGGTGGACGTGCCCTTTGCCTCCTTCTTCCTATCCCAGCTCCTGGGTCAGACGCAGCAGGCTCTGTACTCCTGCATGGACGAGCTGCCTTCGCTGGACAACGAGCTGTACCGCAGCTTGACCTTCATCAAGCACTACAAGCAGGATGTGGCCGATCTCAACCTGACTTTCTCTGTGGACCAGGATGTAATGGGCAAGATAGTCACTCACGAACTGCATCCGGGGGGCAAGGCGCGCGTAGTGAACGATCACAATAAGCTGGTGTACATCCACTACATGGCCTTCTTTCACATGAATACCCAGATTCGGGAGCAGACTGTGGCCTTTAATCGTGGCTTCCGAAGCATTGTCAATCCGGAATGGTTGTCTCTGTTTTCGCCCCCGGAACTGCAACGTCTCATTTCCGGGGACACGGTGCCGTTGGATTTGCGGGATTTGCGCAAGCACACACAGTACTATGGCGGCTTTCACGATTCTCATCGTGTGGTTGGGTGGCTCTGGGATATCCTGGCCAAGGATTTCACAGAGGAGGAGCGCAAGCTGTTTTTAAAGGTTGGTACCAATGGAGGCTTATAATATTTCAGAGTATTAAAATCTTCTCTATTTCTAGTTTGTAACGAGCTGCTCGAAACCTCCGTTGCTGGGCTTCGCCCACCTGGAGCCTCCCTTCTCCATACGCTGCGTGGAGGTGGGCGATGACGAGGACACCGGGGACACCATTGGCAGCGTGATCCGTGGCTTCTTCACCATACGCAAAAAGGATCCCCTGAACCGCTTGCCCACCTCCTCCACCTGTTTTAATCTGCTGAAGCTGCCCAACTACCAAAAGAAGTCCACGTTGCGGGACAAGCTGCGGTATGCGGTGAGCAGCAACACCGGTTTTGAGCTTTCCTAAGGGTTTCCCGCAAAACTGTTTGCAAATCTATTCACATTTTCCATGTTACTCCCCCTAAGTATCCCCCTTTCATAGGTAATTCGATGTAAATGTGTTTATTTATTGACTTTTTAAATGTTTTCAAACGAAGAAAAACATATGCAACGGTAAACACACAATTATTAACAAATAAATATAAACGTATAGCTGTGATAAAACTATAATAAACTAAAACGAAGAGTACACAATGCGAAACCAAGCTGAATTACACCACAAAGCCACATTTGTGCTGAACGAACAATGAATGATAAATCATAAATAATTAAAAATGAGAGAAGATACACAACTAATATCTAACCCACGTAATGGTGCAAGCCAAAAGTTACATTGTAAACCACGAACATAAAAACAAGTAACAATAAATCTATGTGTCTGATTCATGTGCAAAATGTAAGCCTGCCTATGCTTCTGCTTATCAGATCTGTCCTGCGTTCGGTAAGCGCGTTCCCAAAGATAACAAACATGCAATTAGCGAGAGAGAGACCGGAGCAGCTCGGATTTCCCCGGGTTTTTCCGCCCCGAAAACTGAATGAACATCGCGAAGCAGCCAGCGCTAATGACACAAATCCGTCTGGACGTAGGGAAAACTCTTGTCCTCTCTCTCCGCTAATTGCCTGAGTCACACTCGGCCCTGGCCTGGCCTGAGTCCAGGGTCTGGCTTTGGGTCTGGGTCTGGGTCAGTCAGGGGCACTTAGAGAGCGACTGGAATAAACGGAAATATGGAAGCAAGGAGTTTATGCAAAGCTAGTCGAATTACGAATTACCGGAAATTGCATTTCAGCAGGCCTTGCCTAATGACCGGAGACGGGAACGGGAACCTGGTTGAGTAATGGAAATCCGAGCAGTAACCTTAACCACAAGCAGAAGTACTATCAAGGATCCGATCCGATCCGACATTCGACAGCAAACGAGGCAATGATTTTCTATGATTCACTTTGACTTGACATCTTAACCTTTTAAAGATCATTTTTATGTTCCATGTTTCTTATCTTTAGAGTTCAGTGAAATTGTAGGATTTATCTGGAAATTAATAGAGATTTCAAGCTATTTCCTAAAAATCTTTAAGAATTGAGGGCATTATAAATAAATATGTAAAGGTTTCAAATGACGTTAACTAAAAATCAGCTAGGGATCTGATCCCTAATTTTATTAGAGATTTTGCTATGATTCTAATGATTTTTAAAAGTTATTAATGCTAATTTTTTTATGTTTCCTTATTTAGAATTGTTAAGTAAATGAAAGGTATATTATTGATATTATAGTCGCTGTACAAATTATTGTATTGATTGTTGACAGTTTGTGGAGTAAAATACGGATATAAAATCTCTGAATTACTAAATCAAGATTGGGTTAATATGTTTGTAAGTTACATTTATTTTAAAAATATTAAAATATTAAATTAATCACCTTAACCTTAACCTTAACCTTAACCTTAAGCTTTATATGCCTATAAATACCCTTTTCAGAAGCGGCTTAAGATCTGTTAAAATTAGTTTCTCCCCTCAATGTTTTTTTTATTCTGCAAAGAACTGACCGTAACTTGAGATTTTTATCCTGGTCATCGATCCTTCGACCTCTTTAGGGTTTCCGTTCCGGTTCCCCCTGCCCCTTCTCCTACCCCTACCATTTACCATACCCCCAAGTGATGTCCTCTTGCGGTTTTTGTCCGCTTTTGTCGCCAAGAAGCTGTAAATGTCGAGACAATAGCAAACAAATTGTAGAGCAGCCGAGGACCCACAAAAACAGGCAATAATCATAACAATAATTTCCGAATTTCGAAAACTGCAGCGACACACGAACAGTCGGCGGTCGTCGCACCGCCACGGCCAGGTCATAAAACCCACATCGGCATCTCCTGCCGCCGCCGATGCCGCTTTTGTTCCTTTCAGATCTCTCAGATGAGGATGCGTCTCGGGGACAAAGTGTGATCATTTTTATGACTCGCCTGTGTGATGTCGCCCAAGAAACCAAAAAGACAGGACAAGTGGCAACAAGTGACTGTGATCCGTTAGACGAATCCTGCCTAGCCCTTCCCATCCCACTCCATTGCCACTCCTCCTCCGCCACAGCCACTGCATCTTGAGCCTCTCTTCGCCGCTCAAGTGGCCCGCAGGCGACAGTCGCTTGGCGCCAGTTCAGTTTTTTTGATGGTGCAATTTGTTGTGGCCCATTCGAGTACGAGTACCGTTTAAAGGTCGGCGGGGCTAGACTTATCGCCGAGGCGGATCTCTTTCTGGAGATCCCTCTCTCCTCCGCTTCAAACGGTAGCCGCGAGATTTCGATGCTGGCCTCGACAACATCATGTACAAGATGCCGGCCGATTGCTGGATAAGCTACCGAACAGATGGAGTCTGATCATGGCAGGGAGATATGGCTGAATGTACTATATATTGAGCGGATATCAAAGGTTTGACACTCAAGTGGACTGACTCTCTTTCAAATATTAATGATTAAGAAAAGGTTGTTGTAATACCTAAGAACTAGGTTATTGATTTTAGGTTTTAAATTGTGGGAATAAATATTCAAGGGTTGTTCAAAAATCTGTAGAAAAAACATCAAAACATTATTTTTTTCTTTATAATACGATTTCTGTCTTGATCTAAGGGCTTGATATAGAAAACAAATAAAAAATCGGATTGATCTATCACTAAGATTTTTATTAAACTTTGCAACAGATTCGACATGATAATTTTCAAGGTTCTTTCAGAATTCAGTTGTACTCTAAAAAGTTATTGTTATTTATAATACATTTATTTTATCAGCTTTAAAACCCCAAGAGCATTGAGGAAAAGTATACCATAAATTATATGATTATTTTTTAATATGTTATTTTTAAATTAACAAAGCCCTTGAGTTCGCAATGATTAAAAAGTTCAAGACTATTTAGCGCCTAAGTTCTTACAAATACAACTAATAATAGGCAGACATTATTTCTAATCTCTAATACTAATATTATTACTAATACTTCAGAGCACTCCGCAAACTTTGATAGAAGCTCTCGATCTTTTCTGTGACTATTTATGATTCCATTCAAAGTAATAAAATGTATCTCAGCTTCTACATTTTTGGGGGCTCTCAATCTCAGTGAACATTATTAGTTGGCCCATATCCAAAACGTTTTCCTATTCCATAAATATTACCAGCGATTAGGCGACTTCAAAGAGAGTCTCCCCAGAATTCTACCGGAGAAGAAGCCCCTACCCTTTCCCGTTCCCATTCCCATTAAGCGCTATCAGCGGCAGCAAGATGGGTGCCGTGCCCCCTTAGCTCAAGAGGGAGGAGGTCACTGAATCTCAGAGTCCCCCGCTCCTAAGAGAGTCATCGGAAAATGGCGTTTCCCATGAAGAAGTAGGCAAGAGCGAGACAACGAACCGCTCGCTGATAAGCGACCAATGGCAAGGGAAGAGCGAGAGCTATAGAGCTACCCACAGAGCAGCAGAGTGCGATCGAGAGAGAAGCCACTGACTGCCACTTGAGCGGGAGAACAGGTCGAGCAACTACCTGAGGATCGGTGCGTGCGGGAGGGCAACCCATCCGACCGGATTCGGGCTGAATCGAGGTAGTGCCCGCTCCGAGCCACAGAGAGACAGTCTCAACTTGAACTGCGAAGCGATCAGTTCGTCGTCGTAGTCGTTGCAAATCGATCGATTTCCCACGGATAGTCTAAAAAATAACAAAGAAAATAAATTAAGATCTAGTAAGAAGCTAGTGAAGAAGTGACCAGAATGTTAACCTTACCCAACATTGCCGATCTGCGTTTGCAGCAGCAGATCGCCCATGAAATATACCGCCAGCAGATTATGCAACGTTTGCCGGGTAAGTGTGGAGCAGACTCCATTTCCGTTTTGCCGACGGCTAATTGTTTCTTCTTTCTGTTTCTTGAAGATCCCCTTTGTGGTTTACTGCCCAACTTTGCCGGACACTTTGTGGCTCCACCACCGCCACCGCCGCCGCCACAGCCCTCGCTGCCAGGCGATGTCGAGGCCAAGCTGGAGAACAACGAACTGTGGCGACAATTCCATAGCATAGGCACCGAGATGATCATCACCAAGAGTGGCAGGTTGGTACCTATCTGTTTGGCTTATCTCCCGTTGATAAGTCGCCTCCTCCGCCTTCTGGGGGTTATTATCAGTCTTACAGTCGAAACGTGTCACTAACAGCGATCCATCCTCTGTGATCTCTGCTCTTTCCCCCCTTTAGACGCATGTTCCCCTCGATGCGTGTCTCTCTCAGCGGTTTGGAGGAGGAAGCCAGCTATTGCGTGCTCCTCGAGATGGTGCCCATTGGTGACTGCCGCTACAAGTTCTCCGGCTCACAATGGGTTCCGGCCGGTGGAGCCGAGCCGCAGAGTCCACAGCGAATGTATCTGCATCCGGAGAGTCCAGCGACAGGCAAGCACTGGCAGTCCCAGGCTCTGCTCTTCAGCAAAGTGAAGCTGACGAATAACACTTTGGATAATAATGGTCATGTAAGTATTTATATCTTTAAAATATTTGTTTAAAAATAGTTTGGGGAAGATATTAAAACCACTAAAAACATGCTTAAAAAACTTGCATTGAAATCTATAGTTATTTTTGGGAGAATTCTTCCGATTTTTGGCAGGAGTAACTCTACTTTTGTTTTACCCAAAAAAAGATAAATTACCCTGATAACATCTCTGTTTTTCTGGGTTAAAATGTCAGCAATGGAACAAGGCTACATATTATTTATATAAGTGATATGTGAGATCTTTACCCAAAAAGATAAATGCACAGAGAACATCTTTCTCTTGTGTTGGGAGCAATATTTTATATATTATTCATACAAGTGATATATGAGACATGAGATTCTGCAGTTACAAGCTACAAGAATTGGAAATATAAATAGAAATAATGTACATATTATTCAGCAAATGGAAACCTTTAACTTATCGCTTATATTCCTCTCTTCCTTTGCAGATCGTCTTAGCCAGCATGCACAAGTATCAGCCCCGTCTGCATGTTATACGCACCTCAGACTTGGGCCAGATCCCCTGGGCCCCCCAGCAGGCCTTTGTGTTCCCGGAGACGGAGTTTATCGCCGTTACGGCTTATCAGGTGTGTACCAATTCCACATCTTCGCCATCCATAAAAAGCTCTGTGATAAAACTAGCTAATCCCTTGCCTTTTGCTTTTGCAGAATGACCGCATAACCAAGCTGAAGATCGACAACAATCCCTTTGCCAAGGGATTCCGTGAGTCGGGTCAGTCGCGATGCAAGCGGAAGATCAGTGATTCCCCTCCCCCAGCTAGCCAGCCAGAGGATGAGCCTTCAGAGTCACCATTAGCCAAGCGGTTGCGTCTGGTGGAGGAACTGCCGCCACAGCATCATCTGCAGAATCCGAATCTTGTGCAGCATCGGTATCTGCTGGATACCCTGGAGGCCAATTTCTATGTGCCAGCGCCACCACTACCACCACCACCACCGTCGCAGCAGCAGCAGCATCAGTCCGCCTTTGAGTATGCCAGGCACATTGCCGGCTATCCAAGTTGGGCCTACACACCGCCATCGCCAGCCTCCTCGGTCTCCTCATCATCGGCGGGCTCTACGAGCGGCGAGTCCGCTGCCGATGCCGACACCTTTGTGGATGTGGTGAGCACAACCGCTGCTCCCAGCGATGCTGCAGTGCCGCCTGCCAAGCCCAAACGGAGCAGCTTCAGCATCTCGGACATATTGGGAACCAGCGTGTCCATTTAGCGCGAGCGATGTGCTCCCATTTGGAGATCGGCATCGCTGCCTTGTACATTTAATTAGCGTTTAGTTGCCATAGTGTAGTGTCTAAGCTGAATTGTGATATTTTGCAGTTAATTAGGATTTCCAGGTATTTCTCTGCCATCAGTATTTATCGTATTTATTATGCAATTTTAATTGTTCGGATGATTTCGTAATGGATTTATTGTCTTTGGCATTTCATAAATGCGCGGCATAAATAAACTATGTATATGTTCAAATGTATTCACTCGCGGAATTTGATTTGGAATGGTCCCAGACAGAGAGATTCCCCGTATCTGTGCTGCTTCCCACACTGGCTGACTGCCTGCCCATTGAATCCTGTTCCAGCAATTTGTGCCTTGCATGCTTCCATTTGCCTGCCTGTCGTCGTCGCCGAATACATAATTCGGACTTGGAGTCGGTCTTCGGTTTCGATTTCATATCTCTGCGCATGCGAGGCATATGAAAACCAGTTCCCGTGTCCAGTGCCGCCGCACAAAATCCCCAATCTCCCAACCTTCCCCCATCCTGAGAACAGCATAACCCACCCGGCAACCGGCAGGCAACAACATGGACATGGGCTTATCAGCAGATCAGAGCGAGCCGCATCTTAAACGCTGGCGCCGGCGCCAAGTTAAATGCGCTGATTGAGCGCCACGATCCTGGCCAGCCAGGTTCCAGGTTCCAAGTTCCCCAAGCCCCCATCCACGTGTAATTGATGTTTTCACATTGTAGTTGTTAGCGAAACTGTGGCCATTTACATGCAATTGTCCGGCTGTCCCATCACACATCTCCGCTCTCCATTCCAGGCGGAAACGAGGCGGCGCTCCTTTGATGCTGCGCTCCAGCCAGTCGCAAGTGTTTGCCCCCAAAGAGAGCCCGGCTAGATGATTGGCCAACTTCGACGGTGGCATTTCGCTTCAGTTCGCGTTAAGAAACAATTGTTAAGAGCCCCAAGAGGATGGAGCCCAATCGAACCCCAATCCCGGAGTACCCACACACGTAGCTGCAACCTGTTTTTCGGCCCATTCATGTTGCCGCTGGAAGTGTTTATGGGCTCCACATTAGCCACACTGCATATTCATGTTAAACGTCGCCAAAAGACTAACGACAACGTTTGGTCCATTGTGTTGTTGCCGCTGCCGTTGCCGTTCGCTTGAAAATGTATTGAATTCTCATTTGGGGGGCCAGCAGCATCCGTCGCGAGAGAAAGAGAGTCCCTACTTGGAGGAGCCTCAGCCTCAGCCAGAGCCAGAGCAAACGTTCGCATGTCAGCGGCAAATGAGCTCGGCGACCCAAGCTCACTCGGCAAGATCTGCCAGATAAGCTCCAGGTTCCCCCTGGCGGGCATGTGTAATTTCCTTGGAAATTAATGTTGCGGCGGCCGAAATCAAAGTCACGGGCAACATATTTCGCTGGCGACAATTTTATCGGCAGCACAATGAAATCATTTGGAGCCCCCAGCGACGTCGCTGGCGATATTATGTCTTTCCCGAAGTTTGACAGCCCCAAATACTTACATACATATGGTTGGCGCTCTCTTTAAATGCTAGGAGTCCTTTATTGCAAGTCCAGCTTACAGAGTTCATAGATCTTCCGTCGCTGGTAGTGATAATCCTTATAGTGGCAACAGGTGGAATTAGGTAGTCCGAAAATGATAAATGTTCTAGTAAATACTGTCGCCTGTGCGTACGTGTTGGCGACGTGCCCAGTGGTTGGGATTCTTATACTCCACCAGGCGAGTCAAATCATAGCCACCAGGCACTATTATCGGCTTCTTGGCTCCGTCCAACAATGAAGTATCCTTTGGTGCTGCTGGAAAAACTGGCATGTTCTTGAAGGGCGACACATACTCCTCAGCGGGCTTCACACTTGTGACAGGAGCCGTAATGGTCTGAAAGAAGGACAAAGACTGACTTAAAGAGATATCTCCATACAAGTGAGAGACTTACTTTAGCTGGTTTCATCATAGGCTGGACATTAGCTTCGTGCTTTTTAGAATTCATTTCGGTCAAATCTTGTTTAAAATAGGCATCCAGGGCCACCGAAAACTCACGTAAAGGCGAACGATTCTGCTGATCGGACTTTTGTTGCGAACCAACCCAGATCTCGGTAAAGGCATGCTTAAGCTTGACCTCCGTCTTCGAATCAGAGGTCAAATAATCCTTGAGATGCTGTTCCGGCAAGTCCAAGTCGAAGAGCTCTTCGTTGGGCACCTGTTTCGAAGTGAGTTCCGGCACATTCCTAGGGCAAATGGGCAACGGCTCCTTGGTGGAATTTAGCGGTGAGACCACAAACTTCTTAAAAGTCTTGAAGCGCCCCATCTGCTGCTGAGTGCCGTTGTGGGTGGACACACCATCGCAAGCGGACGAATCGCTGGAACACTCGCTCTTTTGATCACTAGATTTCGGGTCCGGGATGGCGAACAAGGCCTTCGGGGGCGTCTCTTTGGGGGCCTGCGGCTGTGGCTCGATCTGTGTCGGGATTATGCTAGTAATGCGTTTAAGTAAAGATCTACCTCCACTTACCGAATACTCATTCTCCAATGATCCCGAAGTCTCATGCTCCGACTCGAAGCCCGTGGCACTGTCGCAATCGCTGGAAAGCGAAGACTTCCAGGAAGCGCTTAGGCCTTTCTCGTGGAATGAGAACTCACTGTCGTTGAACGAATGAAAGGAGTCACTATCCTCGTTATTAGAAGCACCACCGTCAGGAGAAATGCTCATTTTGATCAAGTTTGCACTTTTGTTTCGCGATCAGCTGAAAATTATTTAATATTAATGGCGCAAAAGTCTAAGCGACAAATGTACAGGGATGACAACTTGATCGAAATGATTTTTTTTTCTAAGCGGTGTTCTAATGTGTTTCCACTTCCCCGGCGTTTGGCGTAAAACTAAAAATAATATTTGTATTTTTAAAGTTATGACTAATGCCAAAATGAATATATAATTTTAAAATTATTCATTTAAATAAAATGCTATACCGGTGTTGTATTTGCATATTTCGTAATGACAATGCACTGAGGTAACACTACAAATATATTATTACAGATAACAGAAACTGATTTTAGAGCTATTTTAATAGCTTTAAATATTAACAATTTTACGTTCAGGGTTGAAAATGAATTTATAATTTAATATCATGCTTTCATGCTATAAACTAGTGTAATCATTTTATTAGTGCGTGCCTTGCGATTAAATTGGCAGCTCTGGCAAAGCTCCGTTATTAAATGGCGCGCATTAATTTCGCATTTGATTTTGTGGTTTGCTCTCGGAGACACACAACACAAGTATGCAAATAGTTGGCCAGAGACAATAGTGGTGCATTTTGCACTCAATAGACTTGTAAACAAAGCATAGACAATGCCAGAAGGTCCTCTGCAAAGGATGCGTACTTGACGACGGCCATTGTGCTCCGGTTTTAATTGTTCCCCTTTCGAGTATTTTCCAAACTGATCCCTAGATTTGCCTATATGATCATCATACATGCATGTAGGGGTGCACCTTCCCATGATACCTTTGTAGCACTGTAGTGGACCTGCTTATGTGGGTGATTTTCATTATCCTCTAATTGTTTGTGCCATTGTTCACGCGATAGGTTTGAGAAATTACACGCTTTGTTAATTGTGCCAGCCCAAAAGGGACGACGAGCCGTCCTCACATGGCCACCACGGACTAGCCCTAGCCCTCATGTGAGCCCATTTGCATAAACTGCTTTTACGGCCCTTTGTTGGCCGCCTCAGTTCTGGTGGTGGGTTTGTGTTCTGCTCTAGTTTAAAACCCCAGCTTAGCCGCAAACACTTGAGCTGGGCAGGGCAGGGCAGGAATGGCCGGAATGGCCGGCGCAGGTCGATTCTGGGTCGGTGCATCCGCTTTTATGGCTTGGCCCCGGCGACATGGAAACCTTTCTTTGCCACGCTTTGTTGCATTCTCCTCGCGACCAATATATTTGCATTGGCCAACAATAAAAACTCAAGTACCGGGCCATTGTTGCCATCTTGTTTGGCTAACGCCGGGCGCAGCCTGAACAGAGCCGAAGCTCGGAAATGGGCTCAGACGAAGCAAAGGATGGAATGGGATTTGTAATCTTCAGTTTCTTAAATCCCTTAAATGAACTATCCTCAGGAAAATTTTTAGAATTGGTTATATCTATAATGTCTATATATTTTAAGATATATTTACTATGCTATCTTATTTATTTTCAGTAATACAATTCCGATCCCCTCCCAAATCAAGCCTCAAAGTGGCAGCCACGCGTGCGCTGCCTAAAATGCTTTTCCCACTCATTAACGCCGTCAGTTGCACCACTACCCATTCCCCCCACTTCTAATAACTAATTAACTTTCGTTTAGGAAGCAATTTTCCCCTTTTTTTTATTTTTTTTCCCCCCAAAATGCGTGTTTACACAACAGAAATGCTGCTCGACAAAGTGTATCTAATTTCATAAAATAACAACACACAAAAAAGAGGCAACTTGCAGCGGCAACAAATGTGGCAGCGTAAAAAGCAACAGCCATAGTGCATTAATTATCCGGAGAGACCTGCGACATCTGCCGCGGATGGAAGAGGGATCGGGTACTAACTCTATGGAGGAGGATCCGAGGAGTATGGCCATTTAATGAGGCATTCATTGCACTCACAACCTTGCGCTGTCAACACACGCACTCGCACACACACGGCCGACATCTGTCACCCGTTCTAGCCCCGACATGGTATGGTGTATGGTGTATGGGATAGCAAGTCTCAATCCCCTATAAAACCGCAGGCCTCCGGATCGGAACCGATCCCCAGAGGCACCCAAAGACATCCAAAACAAACGGCAACTATTTCAAATCGATTTGGTGCACTGATAAAATCAACTATAGATTGGGTTACTTGATTATTTTGTTTTCGAAATTTGTGTTTTTCAAATATTAATTTATGAATTGCAATTCATCCCTATTACTTTTAATTTTTGAATAAAATTTTATTATGTTTTAAGTTGTTAATAAATTCTTTAAGATCTTTTGAAGATCAGCTTGTTAGATTGGGATACATAAAGGGGTTTTCCTACTTGGTTTTTAAATTAAATGGGTTTCTATTACGTTTATTCTTTTATCCTAGAATAACTTACCATAGATATATGTTAACTAAATGGAATTTTATAATAAAAATAAGTACTGTTTGTTAGTTTCGTTAACCTTAATTTCTTCAAGTGTCATTCATAATTAATGAGTTAAATTTATCAATAAATAGGAGTCTTAGTTTATTAAAATAAACATTTTCACAACCAAATTTCAATTTTTAAATACCCTTTATCTTTAGTATCGTCCGAATATTCACCGATTTATATAGATTTTAGAGAGCTACTTTCGGTACAGTGTGGTAAATTGATTCGAGCGTGTTTGTTTTTCCGATTGCTGGGCGGGCAGCGGCGTCTGCACCGCCCCTGGACAACCAGCCCCTTGTAGCCATGTAGCCAGCCATCAGGGGCCATCAAGGGATCGGGACGGGAACGAGACGTGGGTGGTGACGCATGTCATCGTAAACTTCATCATTGGCTCCGTTCCTTCGGCCAATTTGTGGCAGCTCCTCGGCGACTTACATAACGAATCGTCTATTTTCTTTGGCTTCGTCTCAGTCTCTGCCCATTTCATAAATATCGGAGGGTTCCAGTTGCAGTAGGAGGGAGAGTCGGGTCTCTGGGGTAGCATCCGAGATCGGAGATGCGAGGGCTGCAACCGAATTTCATGCCTTGTCGAGCTATTTAATTGCAAACAAATTATGTTCTAGCCAGTCGCATCTCTGTGTGGCTAATGGATGCGGATGCTGTTGCTGTTGCCCTCTGATGATGTTGTCGAAAACCGAACGTTTATCTTGTAAATTGGTTGGGATTAATGTCTGGCGGAAGTTGTGATTTCCAGCCCCCAGATCGGCCAATGATAGAGGATGGTCTTGGTGTTCTCTTCCATTTCTCCTCTCTCTGAGATGTTCATTTACCTACAGCATCGGGTGGGCGTTCAGGCTTTGAAGGCCGATCGCAGCGGGAGAATATAGATGGTATATATACATACATCTCTGTAGTAATCCAAGATCGGTAGGGATTCCCAGTGAACTAAAACCAATTGATTCTCTTACTTTAGTGTTACTTTAATCGCTTAACATTTAGATTGGCTTAGTAAATAATCAGGCTATGATCTGTATATTATAATATCAAGATGAGTACAGCGAGATGAAGAAAAACATTATCCCAATCATTAACAAGGTATCTAGGAGTAGCTTCGATGCTCTACTCTACTCTACTTAAGGCTTCTTCTGTATTTCTATAAATTTCTTTTAATTTCTTTATAATGTTATAACCAAAATCTATGCATGATTTCATTATGAAGTTCATCTCATTTTCCTTCAAACTAAAAGTAGCTTTGTTAGCTCTTGAAATCAACTAACTTCCACCTCCCAGGATGGCCGATATGCTGAAACCCTTACTCCTGGTGGAGGGTTCACCTGGTGACTGTTCCTGCGAGGATTGCTTCACTGTGGTCGTCGTGGTCGTTGTTTCACTGCCCACATCCAGTTCAAGGTCATCGGCACCAGACTCATCCGAGTTGGGATCCAAGCCAGAGAGATCAGGAGGCAGATTCAGGCCAGGATGAGGTCCCAAAATACCAGCAGCAGGGGGATAGAGAGAAGTTGTGGGGAGACCAGCTCCTCCACCTGGTCCGTACTCGTGGGAGGGACGCCCAAAGTAGGTGCAAGCCAGATCCACCAGCGAGGGTCTCAGCAGACTCTGCATATTTTGCTGAAAGTGCTGCATAAAAACGCTGGAGGCACTCCGCGCCTGGAGGGGATGATGGGGCTGGAGATGGAGCTGGGCAGACTGAGGCGGTGGAGGAGAACTCAAGGTACTGGCGCCAGGCGCCGACTGATCGTCCAGCGATGACGATAAGGAGCAGGCGGAGCCATTTGATCTCAGTCGCTTAATTTGCGGGCCATCGGGATTTGGATTTGGGTTTGGATTCGGGTTTGCTGTCTCACTGCCCTTCGACGGCGACATGTCAGACTCGGATTGGGAGTGCGACAGCGACTGATCTTGATCCTCGCCGGTTGGCGATGAAGACATCTTGCGCTTGCACCGCGACTGTCCCGTTTCGCGGAAGCCCTTGGCAAACGGATTGTTGTCAATCTTCAGTTTGGTGATGCGATCGTTCTGCGGAAGAGAGGACAAGACATGGAGAATGACGATGAAATACGACTATGATGATGGACAGCACAATCTTGGGCAACTACAGGGAGAGAAAAACCGAAGCCTAATGTGCTTTCCTCATAAAGAAATACTTTGACTGACAGTATCAAATTTATCTACATTTTAAATGTAATTTAAATTATATAGTAAGACTTATTTCATTCCTAAATGTCCTCCATCCTATGCATATATATCTGTATAATATTAGGTCTTATTTTTCTCTCTGTATGGGTGTCCAGTAGCCGGCGTGTTAAGTAACATGGCCACTTGACACCGCCATAGGTCTGCAGTTCCAGTTCCTCTTGGCCACTCGAGATGACTTGACAACTCTCTGTGATCTGGCTGGCGCATCTCATCTCCGACGATGTTAAGGCGATCTTGCTAATTAGAGGCAGACTGGCGTCGGCTGTATGTCAATGGGTCCAGACCTAGACAAAAACACAGCGAGGCGCTCAAATTTACAAGGATGTGGCTATCCAACTTCCTAAAACAACAATCCGACCCGCTGACTTTCTGCCTGCCCAGCCTCATCCTCATCTCATTTCGGTTCCCACTCCACTCCTCTTCGGAGCAGATCCCGGAGGCGTTCCATGCTAATTCCAGCCGCTGACCAAGCAACCCACGGCGTGAGCGATCGCCCAATCGTTTGCCCAAAATTAACCAATTAGTGTGATCGGTCCCAGTCCAGGGTCTCCTTAGACTTTGCTCAATGAATTGGCAAAAAAAAAGAGTAGTAAGTACGATCTGCAAGGGAGATCAGGACTTCGAGGACACCAGCTACGAATACCCTAGGGAAGCTAATATTCTAAGGGTTTTGAACCATTAAAAACTTCATAAAATTGAATATAAATAAATATTGAATTCTATACGGTTTAAGGTTATAATAGCAAAGAAGATCATATAAAATATAAATATACCTTTTAAAAGGATATATTTGATAAAACTGGAACTTTCTTCTAATTAAATAGGTTTCAATTTAATTCAATTTCATAATTTTTTATTTATGTTTAGTATACTCTACTCTTTTAAATGATAATATATACTTAACGAGGACAACAGTATAATCCTTATATTAAGCATGTAACTCTCTTAATAACATAAGTTCTTCCTGAAAGTTATCCTCACAAGATCATCATATTGAACAGAGTCCCTATAAATCCTCACAAACCTTTCCCAAAAATGACAATAACCCTTTAGGAAGGGTATAGAGTATTTTAAGGAAGATAGCGCCACTTACCTGGTAGGCTGTCACGGCCACGAACTCGGTCTCGGCGAACACAAAGGCCTGCTGTGGGGCCCAGGGAATCTGCGCCAGGTCGGCGGTGCGTATGACATGGAGACGCGGCTGGTACTTGTGCATGCTGGCCAGGACGATCTGGAGAGGGGTATAAGAATCTGATCAGTAACCGGAGACCACTTCAAAGCTTCTTCCGCACTTACATGTCCGCTGTTGTCGAGCGTGTTATTGGTTAGTTTCACCTTGTTGAAGAGTATGGGCTGTGCCTGCCAATGGGCCCCAGTGGCCGGACTATCCGGATGCAGATACATCCGCTGAGGACTTTGAGGCTCGGCTCCTCCAGCCGGAACCCATTGCGAACCGGAGAATTTGTAGCGACAGTCACCGATGGGCACCATCTCGAGGAGGACGCAGTAGTTGCTCTCATCCTCCAGGCCGGAAACACTGAGGCGCATCGAGGGGAACATGCGTCTGGGGAGGAACATAATTAAATTAATTTTAATTTAGTTTGATTTTTAATTCTATTATGTATTTATTACTTAATAGGGTAAAAGATTAAGCTTCCTTAAGTAACAAAATCCAGAGACTTATTCTTTCACTTTTTTTTTATAAGAAAAACATTTTTTAATTACCAAATTATAACTTTCGACCGAAGAGTGAGTCTAAGAACCTATTCTTTAATAAATTTACAAAATATCTATCTCAAAATTGTATTGTTACTGAAGTTTCCCTAATGTCCTCAATGCAAGTTCAACCTATTAAAGCCATATCAAGGTGTGACAGTGCAAGGTGTGTGTTGGATTTCCCATTGTGGGGTTCCCGCTTCAATCGCTTTAATAATTTCCATTCCACCCATTTATATTCGATAAGAATTGTATATATCTTTCAATAAAAAAAAGAAACGCCCACAAATAAAAGACACTTTGCGGCAAACAAATACCGGGCATTCTTGGGATTTAAACAAATACCAAATGGCTGTGTTATTTTCTTCGAGTGTGCTCTAGCGGGGAAGGCGGAGAAAAATCCAGGAAAAATCTATGAAATTTGTAGAGCCTTTGTTTACCGAACAAACTCAAATATAGTCATGCTAGATCGACAAAAGGAGCCCACGTCCACGTCCGCGTGGGCGTTACAAATATTTAATTGTGAGATTTCCCTTCCATGCGCCATGTAATTAGCTCCGACCAAATAGAGATTGCCGAGGACGAGGAGTAGGATCTAAGCTAGGAGGGACGGGGGCGGCGCTCCTCCTTGGTTTGCCCTGTGCTAACAAGGATGCAACAAGGATGGAACAACAGGCAGAGTGAGCCGTGGAGTGACCCTCTCGGATCGCGCAGCCGCAGACGCAGCAGGTGGTCACCGCTCTTGGCGCCAGCCCGAGACCGAAAAATGTGTTTGCCCTTCGCCTTCGAACCCGAGACCGAATCTGAATCTGAATCCAAGTCAGCCTCCTCCGCTTCGATCCTCGAGTGGCTCTTGCTTGTTTTTGGCAATGATTCCGTGTTTCTCCGGGCTCCGATGATTAATTAATTGAACTCCGCTGCGCTTTGGTTTGCTCTGCCAGCTTGCCTACATTTAATTTGATTCTGCCTTTCTGTTTCTTTTGTTGAATTCCATTAGAGCGACGGGCACCGAAATATTTCGACATTTGTGCGGTTTAGAATTTCATTTTCAATTTGGTTCTTCCTTGTCTTTTTCTTTGTTTATTTAATTTTTTTGGCAAACAGTTTGCTGTCTGGTTTTCGGACAAACGATTTGTTAAGATCGATATCTTTGGCGCGCCTGCGCATAATTAACGGCGGGAATGCTGGCTGGCAGCGAGGAGCACGCTGGAGATTTGACGGCATCCCACTTGGCGCTTGGCAGGTGCAGGGAACACGTCCCAGGAATGCGTCAGCAGTCCCTTGAAGGGTTTCTTTGGGAGGATCTAGAAATTTGATACTCTTTTGCAGTAGTTTTTGAACTATAATTATGAACAATTAAAATGAGTTTCTATGCTTAATAGTTTCTTAATATAATGACAACAATATTGACAGCTTGGAAAATAGTTGCGGAAATTTAAGTTTTCTTATGAGAGTCAACAAATTCGAATAATATAGAAAACAAGATACTTTTCCGAAATAGTTTTTAATTGGAACTGGTACCAAACTTTCCCCTAAACTTTCTTAACTTAACTGTAATTTTATGGCATTCAATTGTTGAAAGTTAAATGTATATAAAATATATCTTTAGTTATTAATTATAAAAAACGCAAAAAAGGAAAGGCAGCCTTATAAAGTTTAAATTTAAATCAGGAAAGAATTGTAATTTTAAAATGTTCGTAATTAAGCCAAAAATGCATTTCAATTTGGAAAACTTTTCTGATCTGGTTTTTATTGATTAACAAATCTATATATTAAATTTAAAATTTTTAAGATAGACTTTTTTCTTGAAATTTTGAAAAAATCTTAAAATTTTTTCTCTTGCGGATATGGCTAGTTCGACTCGGTTTTTTATGCTGATCAAGAATATATATGATTTATAGGGTCGGAAATGTTTGCTTCTGTAGTATTCTGCAAGGGTATAAATATCATTGATTTTCTGTGTATCTTTCAGATACTTCCCCTCGTATCTAAGCGCTTTCCGAGCGGGGTTAGCTTGTCGCTTCTGTTTTACCGCCTTTCTTGGCGCTTCCCATTTAGCCAACGCGGGTTATGGCCTTATGGTTATGGCTGCGGCTGTGCCCACACACACTTAAGAGCTTCGTGACAAAGTCATTTCATTTCCCGCTGTCAGGGCATTAAAGCGATACGCTTTGTTCTATCTAAGTTTAATGGCCGTCTGCGCTTTTACCACCCAAACAGATCGAAAGGTTCAAGTGGCCCAGACAACCAACTAATTAGTTTTTATGGTAGAGTTATAGTATGGATCCGATCTGTTCCGAGTGGAAAATGCAGTGGAAATTGGGACTGAGACGGTGGCATTGTGGCGCCTAATCATTAAAAATTCAAATCGATTGCAACTGGCGACTGCCAGGCACTCACATAAAACATTTTTTGATGGGCATAAAAAGTATTTAATACGCAGACTGTATGAATAATTCATATGTGTGTATATATATATTCCTATAAAACAAAAGGGTTCACCAGAGCCCAAAACTTTATGTTAATGCCTTGGGAAAGCAGAAGAACCCTTGGTAAGGAGATCGAACTGTCGCTGTTATCGGCAAGTGTGAAATTGCTCGTATCTGTCGACAAGCTGTGGTCACTCACCAGCAGTTACAGATACAGATACAGATACATTCGAAGATATTTCGGCGTTTTTCAGTTCGTCTGCTGCAGACAGGCGCCACAATAAAAACGCTAAGAACTACAGATATGACGACAAAGTATCCTTGACGCTAAGATTTATGCCATAACTGGACGGACCACGGTCCGACGTCCGAGTACGAGTTTGAGTCCAAAAGGAGCGCCGCCGACCAAAAAGGACGTCCCACTGCGTTCGGCCTGCAATAAATTACGATGACGCCACTTTACGCACATTCGAACAAGTGCCGGACACTTTTAGGTAGGTTTTTGGTACGAGATCGAGATCCTCTATCCTCTATCCTCGATCCCTGATAAACAAGCCCCGGGGCGATTGCGCTATGCCTTTGATTCGAGTGTGCATCTCTTCTCTATGGGCTCAATCCCCAGTATCAGTATCAAGTATATTCAATCTGCAGATGGGCACGCAAAGTGCCGGCCAACTTGTCCGCTTTACGCCTCGCGCGATAGGTCCAAAAAGTGCATTATTCCCGGGGCTGTAAGTATGTACCTGCTGGCGGCTTTTCACATCCTGTCAGCCATCAGCGCATCCTTCCGCCGTGTTTGCCTGTGAAAATCGTTGTCGCGACGACGCTGTAAACAATTTGCAGGCGCCGGCATCTAATGAGCATTTAACAGCGGCAGCACTCGAGGAGCTAGAAGATCCTAGCCAGGATCGGTTTCAGTGCCAGATCGGGTGCTTTAAGTGCCCTCCGCCGCCTCGATTGGTTTATTTTTCTTTGCCCTTCTACGTCTCGGGTATTAGTTTTCACGTTCGTGCTAATGCATCGCCCGATCTCTGTTTGTTCCCTGCTCGATCTAAGAAGTTTTGGTGGTATCCCCATTCCCATTCTTCTATAACCGTTTTCATTTTATCAAGGGATTACCTTGGGTACCTACCTGCCACTCTTGGTGATGATCATTTCCGTGCCAATTTGGTGAAACTGCTTCCAGAGATCGTCGTTCTGGAGAGTCATCTCCACGCCGGGCAGGGTGACTCGCGGTGGCATGATCACATGACGGGGCATGGGTATGGGCAACATTGGGGGAAAGGGGTCTGAAATTGGTAAGAAGGGGTTAAAGAAGGTCTTTACATAGTAAGATAGAGATTAAACTGCGGCTAAGTTCGTTTGGGAGTATCTATAGACATAATAATGATAATGATAGGGTTGCTTTAGACAGAGATCTTAACAGAAATCATCATTATATTGTAAAGGGCTATTACAAAATTGAATCAATTGTACTATGATCATAGTAAACTAAAGGAAAGAATAAGTATTTAAAAATCATTTCAATAAAAATAAGAAGTTGCTTAAACAAATAAAAGTATTTACAAACATTTAAAGGTTTTTAATAATTTTTAAAATATCATTTCAAACCTTATTGATAACCATAACATAATTTTCTAGTGAAAGATCGATCCTTAACAGGAGACTAACCTTATTCTTTATTTAAAAGGACTTCTTGAATATTTGATTAATCCGGATAATTAACTATCTTTACAACGTCTAAAGTAAAAACTTACAAAGTCAAATATCAAATCAAATGTTTGTGATGTTTGCTAATATGTTGATTGATTAGAGCTTTAGATACTTTAGAGAGTTATTTGTTATCATTATCTGATGTTTTCATTCCGTGTAGCATTTTCAAATTGCTTATATTTATAACCCAGAAATTTAATACTGTAAAACAAAACACTTTATCTTTAAAAGAGAACTTGTAAATTGTGAAGAATTAAGAATTAATTAAGGTAAGACTCTTCATTAGTCTTTGATTCGAGCTGATCTTTTCTGTGGTTTTTATCATAAGGGTATACCGCGAAATATGGTTGTTATGAGAGTGCTATTTTGGGAGAACAAGACGCATTGATTCTTCGATCTTGTCTTGACTTTATGTCCCTCCATTAAGGATCAAACTTGGCTTGATGATTACATCCAAAGAAGATACTGCGTTTAAGGGGTACGCTGATCCCGCTGCTTAACGATCGGCGGTGACAAGCAAAATGCATTTGATATCAAGTTCCCGGATCACTTTCCCACATTACTCAGCTTTATGATCGGCCGGCCATAAACACACACACACATACAGCCAGGAATGGCCATTAATGCTAATGATGCTTAACGGGGCGTATGAGTGATATGTGAAGGTAGAGTGCAAGAGAGCTTACCCGGTATGCGCTGCATGATCTGCTGGCGATATATCTCGTGCGCGATGTGCTGCTGCATGCGCAGATCCACCAGCTCGTTCATGGTGATCATAATTGTATATATTTAGCTTTAGCTTTGCCTTTATTTTGTCACTTGGTCACAATGGTTTCCACACACACAGTACACGGTACACCCGGCGACATATGGCGAAGGGGAGGGGGCCTCTTGTTTTCGAGTACGAGAGTTGGTTGTATTTCTGTCACCGCGCGCTTTTTTATTTTGGCGAGCACGAGACGCTGTTGATTATTAGCGTCAATTATGCAAATCAAGGCGCAAAGTCAAAGTCTCATGTGCGTGGGTGTTAATTTGATTACGACGGGGTGTCAAGTGTCTGCTATGTGGGTTATTTCGAATGTTTTCTTCTCTAACAGAAAGCGAGGGAGAGCGAGTGAGTGAGTGAGTATGGAATTAGCCGACGGTCGTGTCTGGATCTCGCCAAGTTCGCATTTCAACTGAGCAAGTTCCGTTGCGATCCGTCGAACCGTCGATCCGTCGATAGAGCTGCAAACGAGCTTGACTCGTTTGCTTCCCCTCGAGCCATCGATCGAGATTACCTGCTGGTGCCTGGTCCCCTCTCATTGGCCAGCGAGCCCTGTTAGCCATCTCGCTCTGCTTTGGCACCTCCATTTTGAAAAACTCGGGTCTCCGATTTTCCAGCTGCCCTGGCTCCGCCCACGATCAGCGGTGCTCTGTCTTTGTCTTCTGTTATCCCGCTCTAATTGTGTTTAATTCTCAAGTGCGAAGTTGCACAGTCAGCGGAGCAACAGCAACAGCAGCAACAGCAACATGTTCCCCGTTCGCCGATCGCCGTGTGTGTTGCCTTTTAATTATGATCATGATGATTGAAATTGTTTTTTCTCCGTCTCTGCTTTTTGGCATCTTTTTGTATCGTTTTTGTTTTATTGTTGTTGTTTTTGTTGCTGTATTCTTTTTTGTATTTCGTGTATATATTTATGTTATGCTTTGCCCATTTGTAGCCGCTGCCATCATGGTGGTCCTCTTGTCTGCCTCGAGAGCCGTCATTGCCGTGTGTGTTTGTCGTTTTGCTGCTCATTTATTTCGATTTACCCCATCGTACAGAGAGAGGAATAAATGATTATTGTTTTCAGATTAATTAATTAACTGAGCTATCTGAAAATAACTTGATTTTCTTCATTTTAATTAACCAGAGTTGCCTGAAATTAACTTGATTTTAACTATTCTAGTTAGCTAAGTTCAAGTAACTTTAACAGTTCTTCTCTTTAATTAATTGTTGCCTTATTTTGTTCAGTAATTATGAATGCAAATTATGAACAAAGATCGGAAATAAATTAATTCCATGATCTATTTGTTTAAATTAGAAAAGAACTGGCCATCAAAGGATATTTTAGATTATTTTTAACAATGATGCACAAAAAAATTGAGTAATCAGTTATTTAAAAATCCAAATCAAATTGATATATTTTAATTGTAAATTAAACTGTTAAGGAACCCAAAAAAATATTATTATTTCTAAAGAATGTAAATATGTTTTAACAAATTACTGAAGAAAAGATTTGGAAAACAAACTAATGCACTTAAAATAGTAGTTATTTAAAGGTATTTACTCAGTAATTATCCGATTTAAATAATAAACCATATGCCATACCAATTACTTAAATAAGTCTGATGTATTGAAGTTTGATGTATTAAATTCTACTCAAATAATATATTTTTTTCTTTGTGTGTTATTTTGAAGATTCATTTTTCCATTTGTGTTTCGATATATAATGAATACTTATATAAAAGGATTAATTAAAGGATATCCTTAAAGATTTTATCTCCCACCAACTAATACCTTATCTTTGATGGAAATCTATTGAAGAAATCAATTTTTCTCCGTGTGGCTGTGGAATATTATTTTAGATTTGACGCTGCGTCATTTGGGCATTGATATGGCGGCATCCCAAGACCCGATTTGGCCTCGCCAGTTGCTACCACTATATGTTATATGTTATGTTTTTTCTACCTTCCACAGATAGATAATGCCGGTGCGATGCAGGTGGCGACTGTGGATGTGGATGGATTTTGACCTTTTTTGGGAGAGAGCTTGGCAAAACATTTGTTCCGAACGACGGAAACGCGTGTCTATGCCGTTTGCTTACAAATTCATGGCTAATTAAAGTGCCAGCCGGCCTGAACTTTGACTGAAATTAAGCATGCGCCATGTGGGCCATCGACGATGGCGAAACGTGATCGTACTCCATTCTCTTTTTTCTTTTTTTTTGGGTCTCGTGTTTGCCTTCAGTGCTATTTCCTTTCGAGATTAAGACTAAGCCCAAGACGCTTATCGGGACCAGAAGCATTACTGCGAAATTCTTGAGGCTCCCGATGGGCAAATATGTAGTTAGCCGGGCTAATTTACACAGCACTTAGCTGGCCTGACACATCCACGCATTATTTTCAAAGATATCCATAGCCAGGTTGGCGGCGATAAGCGCCAGAAATTAATTTACTATTAGCAGTCCCGGCATTATGTTTCCCTATTTCTACATATATTCCTATACTTATTTTCGCCCAAATTGCGTCGTCTGCGCGTAATTTATGCCTCGCGTTTTCACATTTGGTCGCGCACACTTCCGGTTGCGTATGCGTTTATTTATTTTATTTACTTTATTCCTACATATGTATATGTATTTCCGCAGCTCTGGGTCAGGTCAGTTCGGCTCGACTGGGTTCATTAGGGATCGATCTGAACGATGCGGAGACCCGGTCCCGGAGGGCTGCCAATAGCTGTGCAATTTGTCAGCACTCAGCTAATTGGTGCTGCCTCCGCGCCCGCTGCTTGACTAATGCATTTCGGTTTACTTCCGTTTGGTTCCGGATAAATGGGTCAACAGGTACGTGAAGGAAGGTGCACTAAGGAAAATATCTAGTAGGTTTAGAAGAAACAACATATTAATAGCATTTATAGAAGGAAGAAAGCAGGCCTCTTCTGGACTTTACTATAGTTTTATAAGCATGTCTATGGATACATTTCAGAGCAAAATATTTAAGCTAATACTACTATAAACTGTACAAAAAAGGAAGTGAGTTTTCATTAACTAAGTTAATGCAAATAAACAATTATAATTTTAACAAAATCAATCCGAATATTTAAGTATATTTAATTCTCTAATTAGGATTTTGTTTGGTATCAAAATAACACTGATTTTTCTAGTAAAAACAGCAAAATAGAAAGTGTTTTCACATAAATGTATCACTTATTAAACTATTAAAATGATAATAAATATGCAAAGTAATTAGTTTTGTAAATATTTTCAGGCAAATCATTGCTTATTTATTTATTAATTTAGATACTCTTTGCAGCCATAATATATATTCTAATTCCTTTGCCAATAAAGTCTACCGATAACAATTTTAAATGTTTATGTAGACTTTAGATTTTATTGTGACTATTTTTAAGTTAAGTAAAGTTAGTTTTTAAATTGTATCTGTTATTTTCTCCGAGTGCAGACAAACGCATTCCTGACGCTTGAATCAGCAAACAGGAACAGGATCCTTCCTATCGCTATTCCTATTCCTGTGGCTTGTAATTCACATTATCAATGTTTTGTTTATACTTGAATTATAGAAAATGATCTGGTGAATCAGAGAGGTTAAAAGATAGCCTTGAACTGGTAGCAATGTAATGTGCTACCTAGGAGTCTCGTGTCCAGAGTCCCGGGGTCTTTCCACCCAGTTGCGAAATGAGCCCGATCTTGGAGAGCACGAGCCCTCGGCTTCTTTCTCGCACGGCTGCTCAAATTAAAATTAGCATAAATCGTCTACGAAAGCAATGTAATTTTCCATGGAAAATATGCCCTCCAGCCGGTCGTCGCAATTTATTGATTTAAACTTTTAGCTTGGATCTGTTTGAACAAGCCCTATAGCGCCTTTATAGGCGACTGACTATTAACGGGCCGCCACTTGATCTCTCATATTTGTATTTGCCAACCAGCGAGTATCGATCGAGTACTGAGTACTGAGTAGTGAGTATCGAGTGAGTGAGTAGTTCCATTGTTGCAACACGACACAATGGTCTGGAGGTCTGGCATGCAAATCTACTTTGATATGCAAATTAAGTGACTCAATCGACATGGTGGCAGAGGAGCCTAGGGTCGGAGCTCGTAACCAGGAGGCATCATAATCATCTGTGTCCATGGCGAGCCCACTTCACAGCCAGGCAGAGACAGACCTACTCCAATAATTGAGAGGTGTTTAATCGTGTGTTTCATTTTTGTTTTTCTGCACATTCACGGACCCCCGAGAGACCCATAGACTTAGGCCTTTCATTCCAAAAAAAAAAACGTTTCAGTTTTGGTTTCCACAACTAACATACGGCGGAGCTACCATTCCACTCGATCGCTATTTGCTCTCAAATTATCATAAGCAAATATGGCCAAGATGCCAAGACCAGGCCAGACCAGGCCGGGCCAGACGATGCGATTCAGACCGAAAGATGCTTCCACTTTTCAGAGCCCATCTTCAAACTGAAGTGCTAAAGTCGCTGGCGACGCGACGCTCTGAGAGGCGCTTCTGTTGTGTGGACCCTTGAGTTATTACAATATTATATTCAAATCTCAAGTGCCACCGGCTCCTCCACGTCCACGTCCCCATCCCCCTGCCATCTCGTTCTCATCTCATCTCGGAGAATCTGCATATTTCCCCGGAGCATCATAGTTGTTTGTTTGCCCACCAAGCTCATCGAGTTGGCACTCGGCGGCGATGCGTGTTAATGGCATGTGTAATAACAAGATCATGGACTCAAAATCGATATTTCGAAAACAATTGCCAACAGTTGAGGGATTAATATTAAGAGCTACAGCTATTATGGAGGTTAAAAGTCCACTTAAAATATAAATATTGGGGCATTACGAACTCTCAACTTTATTTAATTGGGATTTAGTAAAAGAATAATGTGTTAGTATTACAGTATCATAATATATGGATACCCTTGTCAAGTTAAGTCTTTAAATATGGTCAAAATATTAATAAGAAATATATCAGTATTTATGATTGCAATTACTGGGTATTATAATTTCAATCAGAAG